TGCAGATGCAAATCTTGACTGCTCTTTTGCCTGAAGGGGACAGACAACGTATCGGTGCATAGTTTCACCCTGCCGCTCAGACTCCCACAGAGCGATGCGCTTCAGGGCGTGTACAAACGAGAGGCTTAGAGTTACACTAAGCCTTACATCTGTCACTGAAACATCTCTGTCATTCTTTATAATAACAAGCTGCTGTATTAACACTGACTGTTTTAACGTCCATGCTGACTTTGCAGCTGTGTGTGTGAGCGCCTGTTCATGTGGTGTCTGGCATCGAAATACTTGTGAAAATGCAGTCATGTAATTAGGTGTTGAAAACTTGTGTCTGATGTTTGCCTTTCCGTTAATAGCTTTGACTTGGATTTTTTTTTCCTCACTTTTACGCATCAAAAATAAAGAACTTAAAGAAGTCAAAATGACAAAAAAAGGTACAACTTTGTCAAAGTTAACTGAGAGCTGTCCAGATGTCTTCACCTGACTCTTGTCATCAACCATCAAAGAGGCTGGTGGCTCCGTTTTGTGTCAGTTAACGCACAAATTGCTCCATAATCCCTCACAGATTGTGTTTCCAGTGGTCTCCTGTCACTGCGCACGTGACTGCCATTGCTCTTCCTATGCTGAGGCCTGACAGGTGGTTCTCAGGTGAGCTCAAACGTCCCGACAATCGCCGCATGTCGCCCCGAGCAGGGCGCACACATCTTCCAAACTCTTCCTGACATGGAGACGTTTAATCTGAGGTGCTGAAACTTCTACTCTGCCCTCCAGTTGTGTGTGTGTGTGTGTGTGAAAGTTGTGACTGTGGTCCTGTGTTTCTGTATGTGATACATTAGCAGTTATCTCCTTGAGGCCGTTTTAACACATGCCACTTCATCTGTCGGGTTATTCATGAGACCAAAGGCTCGGGGTCGTTAGAATCAAAGGCTCGGCTTTGAGTGAGTTTAATGACTGACACTTTAAAGAGGCTGCTGGTTATGTCACTTGCTGTGCAGTTTAGAGTTTGAGATTTATGTGTCGATTTTAAATATTTGGTTCAACGAGTATATCAAATTAAGTATAATACAAATTACAACCATGTATGGCAAATTCAGTGGCTAATTCAGTGGCAAATTCTAGTTTTCCGATCGTCCTTTTCAGTGGTATACTTCCACACAATTCTTTTATGTTAGGGTGACCGTACGTCCTGTGTCACCCGGACATGTCCTCTTTTGGGGGGCTGCTCGGCCTGTCCGGGGGTAGCTTATAAAATCCTTCAAATGTCTGGGGTTTGTATGGAAGCCTGTTTTTTTTTTACTGACGGAAACGGGCTTCCATAATTTTGAGTTTGTATAGCGTGTATATTCGCATCCCAGATCTTTGTATTTACCATACACATTCAGTGGTTCATTTTGAAACACATGCCAAACCCCAGAATGTGTATTCATTCATCATAAAACAGTGCAGTGCATCAGTGCTCCCTGCTCCTCCGCTCAGTTCTAAGCAAAGCCACAGCCGTGACGAGGCGCACGCATGCAATGTCTGCCGGTGAGCGAAAGAAAAGGGAGAAATATTTGTATGTGACTGATAATTTTGTTGAGGAGAAATGCTCTAGATAAATGGATATATTGTTTCCAAATACAACTTTGTGCAAGTATCTCCAAAAGGCGTGGTTAAAGTGTCTTTTTGGGAATTCAGAATATGCGTTTAACTGAGTTAGAAGTGCGTGAAAAACACTTGACTCAACCCAGGAAAAACCCTCAAAATCACGTGCACAACTTAGTCCCTCGTAGTAGTGTCCTCTTTTTGGGGATTCAGAATATGGTCACCCTATTTTATCTGCTAGCTTTTACTGTTGTCCTGCCTAACTCTTAAGCAGAAATAAAGATGTTTGAAGGCTGGTTCACTAAACAGATTTAGTCTGAATAGCTCAGTGCTCCCACTGTGCAGGAAATGAATATTGTTTTGAAGATACTAAGATTAAGAGATTGGCGAATCAGAAGCACGGTTCATTTGACTGACAGGCAGGCACGATGTAGCTGTTTACCAGGAGGCTAAATGCCCGCCTCTGGTAGGTTGACTAAAAGTTAGGTTGAGCCAGTATTACCAATATGGCGACCTCTGCCAATAGGCTTCAAAACCCAGCTTCAGAAACAAATGAGTGACATATGCCCAGGCACAAACAGAAGCCATGCTGCAGAGAGCCCTGTACTGTTGCAGCTAAGACGGAGCAGCATCACAGTGCAGCAGAGCCAGTGAAAGAGAACACATTGACTTTAATGACAAGCAATCTGCTCCATTGTTGTGGTAGAGCGGAGACAGGGTGAACACAGGGTGAGATACAACGGATGACCTGATTTAAAATTTAATCAAAAAAAAGAGATGTGGTATATCTCTTTTGTTGTCCGCTTAAACAGCTATGTGTTCACTTATTTTTATAGTCTTTTGTACCTGAAGATCGTACTTCAAAGCAACATGGTGGTGCAAAACTGGTCAGACAATGAAACAAGGGTCCCTTCGGGCATTTGTTTTCATTAAAAACAAGACAATAATGAAAGCTACTAATCTACTCAACAGACGCTCATCCTCTGTCTTCTTTGTTGGGCTGCACAGTGGGTCACGCTGCCATGACATCCCATCTTAACTATTTAAACATCAGATTTGAGTTGTATTTGACCTTTAAGTAGTCAACCCACCTACTGATATAGGTGTTTCGGACCCTATGCCACTATGCAGACAGCCCAGTGAGGTGAAAAGACAGTAGATAAATATGAATACATAAATTTGGATTTTCAATTTAAATGAGAGTTTCTGCCTTTATTTGATTAAAAACACGGATATGACAACACAGCAGGTATTATGCCACAACAAGCAAGTAGGCAACAGGGAAAAACAAAATCATCCGAGGTTGAAGAAAAACAATCATTTTCGAGACGAGGGCAACAAAGATGTCCGCACCTTTGTTTGTTTGCACAAAGCACTGACACATTTGCAAAGATTGTCATCTTGGTGAAGCTCTCTGTTGCCTCCTCTCCCATCATATTGTAAAAATTACTCCAGCTTTCACAGCATGTTTTGGTCCATAGGAGTCACCATCCAAATCCAGCAGGGAAGACTTCAGAAAATTTAGGAAGAGCAAGTGAAAATGAGGAGAAAATTTCAGGGGTACATGCCTGAAGGAGGCTGTACTTCATCACTATGCAACCTACAAGCAGCTGTATGTGTAAAACGTCTGGATAGCACAGTTTAACTTTCAATGCATCACGCTCAGAGTCTTTAGGCACACACACCGCTTCGCCAAAATGACCAGAGAGTAATAGATATACAAATCAAAGTAAATGCTAAAAATAGAAAAAGAAACATGAAGAACTTCGCTCCGTTTTGAAGTAATCAATAAAAAAACGCAAAGTTCGTTTCCTAAATGTTTTTCTCTCTCATTGTGTTCGGCCATTTTGACCTTTAATGCTTTTTTGTTCGAGCGCTTAAAGTGGTCGTTCCTGTCTGAAAGGTGTGTGTGTGTGTGTGTGTGTGTGTGTGTGTGTGTGTGTGTGTGTGTGTGTGTGTGTGTGTGTGTGTGTGTGTGTGTGTGTGTGTTTGAGAGAGAAAAAAAGAGACAAAGAAGAGACGTGAGATGAACAGCCTGTCTGTCAGGTGTTGGTACTCACATTAGTCATGTAAAAAACAAAGGATTCTGGGACACAACAATGGCCGACACAAAGGGCATCCAGGCCTCACTCAGCGTCACCCGATCTCAAGTGAGTGAGTGTGTGTGTGTAAATAAGTGTGTGAGGCTCTGCGTGTGTGTTTGTGTGGAATGGTGTGGCTTTCTTTAGGGGGTGTGGGCGCCTCATTGGCTGCCATGCTGGGGTCAGGCTGAGGTCAGGACGTGTGTGATGGATGGAGCTCTGTCTCTACACCGGTCCTCTCTGCTCATGTGGGCCTCAGAGCTGGAGAGGCATCCTGGCTGTGTCTAACCCTGATCCACACTGAAGGAATTGGGTGAAAGTAGGAGCGGAAAGAAACCTGCAGACGGCTCTCTGGGGTGAGTTCTGCCTCTAAACTTCCACCGGATTTCTTCCTTTCTTTACTCTTAAACTACACCAGCAACTCTGTTTCAATGCATATGATCCGTGCACACGCTAAACATCACTAACCCCATGATGTCACCTCTCTTTTTCTTCCCATCCTTCTCTTCGTCCATCACACTGTCAATCCCTCTATCGGCTCTAGCCCCGTTATCGGCACATGGGGACACACATCTGTCGATGGACGAATTCATTTTGGCTGCCAATCACACCAGGGGAGTGGTCAATGAACGCAGACGTGCCAATACCTCGTCTCTCCTGATGACTGACTTCTGTCTGTCTGTCTGTCTGCTTCTCGCTCTCTCTGGGCTTGCAGCACTTTCTGTCTGCTCACCATAGACCAACAATCAGCCTGTCTGAGTGAAGGACCTGACTGTCTGATTTAAAATTTTGTGCATGTTCAGCCTTTTTAACTTTTGACAAACTACCATACCTGTCCACAGAAGAACACAGATCTGTTTGCAAGAGAAGTACAATCTAATCCATGCAGGCGCCGCTGCAGAGGCCTCAGTGACACACTGATCATATTTATACCGACACCCCTTTACTTTTTGTGTGCATATTCACACGGGTGCATGATACTCATCTTCTAAGATGGAGAATTGAGGCAGAATCTCAGAAGCTTGGTTCCATGTGCTCTGATTGCACTTTTGATTGGATATCTCCTATCGTGCTGTTGTTGTTGTTTTCCCCGAAAAAAAAACAGCTTTCATATGCTCCCATTTCACTCAAACTTTTCCACAACTCTGTGGTCTGTCTTGCTGTATTTTCATGCGCAAAATGATTTTGAAATGAATATATCCTTATGCACTTGATGCTGGTGTTAGCTGAGCATCTCTTGCTTGCAGCTTAGAGTGCTGCAGTTTGTCTTTAGCTGGAGAATAGAAATATGAGCACATTCTTGCTTGCTTTAGTTTTGATTTTGAGGTTTTATTCGGCTCAGTTTTATTCGTATTGCATCTTTTAGAAACAAAAAGATAGAACTTAAAGTGCTTTGCAGATATATTATTGATTTATGAATTTTTAGATGGGATTGTTTCTACCTGCCTCTTAGACCTGTGAAACTAAAATCTTTTATCAAGGGCACCCAGATCTACTGGCCGATTTCTTCCAGCTGTCTCAAGCTCTAGGTTGAAGCCTTCACATCTACCTCAGTCTTCTACACAACACGTCTTTGAATCAAACCTTTAAATGCACTTTTATTCCTTTTATTTTTATCTGAGCATTAGGATTCCCTTTTCAGACTGTTTTCTATTCCTGTTGGTCTGAGCACTTTTTCAAATTTTATTGTCTGATTGATCTGAGAATGGTCTTATTGTTTGATCGCCTTGATTTTTTGTTCTTGTTTTTTTTCTGAGGCACTTCCATCGTCCACGGCCATCTTTTGTTGTTTGAGATGTTCTTCATGTAAAAACTTGGATTTGACTGGATTACCGTACACATAGACACACGCTTGGGAATGAGAAAGAAGCAAAAAAATTGACGAAGGTAAAGACATCTGAGGCATCCCTCTTACACTCCTTATTTTAGCCTGTATCATCCTCGGCTCTCTCTGCCTCTCTCCATTTGGACTGGCTTGGACTGTTTTTGTGCGATAATGTGTGTTTCCTTTTGTGTATAAGAAAACTGATGCAAAACCTTCATATATAAGAGCACCTATATTAGTGTTTGTTAATTTACAACCACTGTCCTAGTGTCTTTTCCTTGTGTGTGTGTGTGTGTGTGTGTGTGTGTGTGTGTGTGTGTGTGTGTGTGTGTGTGTGTGTGTGTGTGTGTGTGTGTGTGTGTGTGTGTGTGTGTGTGTGCTTTAAATACCTGTGCACTCTCAGCTGGTGGCCTTTGAGTCTTGTCCTCATCTTGTTTTCATGAAGTCTGTGAGAGAGAAAGTTGCATTTTTATTTTTATTTTCCTGTTTTCTTCAGAGAAGAAAAAGGATCATTTTGATAACACCTTGGTCTATTCTTTGTCAGACAGGTATTTTGGAGTAGCTTTAGCCAACAACAGGAACCTGCATGTGAGAACTGCAACATTGTGGGTTGTGGAGGACAATCTGATGAGGAAGTTTTCCTGGTATTTTTACAGTATAAGATTAAATCTTTATCATTTAAACAAGAAAATATTACCTTTAAAATTTCCCTGTTAATAGAGGACAGAGATAACCAAACCACATGAGAGAATATTAACGTGAAAATGTGTGTAAAGAAATATTTGCTTTTTCAAACAATGTGTCACAGTATTTGAAGGAATATGATCATATAATATAATATATAATAAACATGTATAATATATAATATTAAAATAATATTATTTTTTGAATATTATGATACAGATATGTATTTAATGTAAAGCCTATATGCAAAAAAATAATAAAGAAAATGTTTATTAAATTTAAACTGAAACAGCAAAACGATTTTTTTTTTGTCTTTGCAAAACCACAGCTCCGTTTCCACTAGTCGATTTGTAAAAGATATCCTCACATTTCTCTCACATATTTTAATAACTATATTGTTTTAACGGTTTTATTTAAGTAAGAATCTTAAATGCGTTTTTCTCGCAGGTTTAATTTTAAACAAAATAATCTTTTGGCATTATTGCTTTTTAGGACAGTTTACATTAAGAATTTTCTGCGCATATTTCCCAAACTCCGACCCAGAAGATTAGAATTAAAATATATGATTATTTTCATTATTTTTTGTACTATATTCGGGGGAAAAGAACAAGCTGTAATAATATCTTTGCCGTTCATTTGTTGAGAGCTCTTGCCGTGAATGTATTTGACCGATCAATGTCAGAGTTATATTTTTTTATATATATGCTCCATGGCACACTTGCACCCTTGGCACGATCGGGCCAAAGCAAATACTCGCAAATGAATCCTACATTTTAATGTCTGTGTCGTGTCTTTTTTTCAACATCTTTTCCTCCTTCACAAAGCCTTAATGGTTTTCGTCAAACATCTGTCAGCGTCCATGTGTTTATCTGAGGGCTCTAATGGGAACCATCAGCCGCGCTGAGGTTAGACACTCTCAGGTTTGGACGTCCTGATTTCACGAAGCTGGGGTCATTTTCGACTTTTGAACAACGAGCCTGGAGGTGTTTTGGTCAAACAAGCCGTCGTAGCTGGAGTGTGACTGCGTTGCTGAGCTGCTTGTTTGCCCAGTGTGCTCTGTAAACTGTTGTTTAGGTGGGTGGTGCTGTGACAACAAACTCAAACCGTGACCGAGGACTGACCCCGGCCTTTCTTTTGAGGATCAGCTGCGTTTCTAATCCACGCTGTGTGGCTCCTGCAGGGGCCTGGAGAAAGGAGGGCAGGGCTGGAATTTTGAAAAAGTGGAGTCCGGGGACACCCAAGGGTCCACCAGGAGGTCATGTTTATGAATCCATACCCAGTGGAACATTGAGATGATTTTATAGCTGCTTTGAACAGCTTTTCCACTCGGCCTATAACTTCTATTTATTTAATATTTAACACACAGCATGTAAACACAGATTTATATCCAAATGGAAACTGCAGCCAAATGAGGAATTTACGCCAAAATGTGTTCAGTTTTCGTGCCACAACAGGAACATTTTTCCGAGAAGGAGAATTTAAAGATATTATCGCGAGATCGTTATATGGGTCAACCTGCAAATTCGGATTGAGCAGAAAGTCGCTGACAAAATAAACATTTATTTTTCTAGACTTGTGAAACATGCAGATATAGTTTTGAAAATTAATTTTCTCTGTTGTATTGTCGAATATATTTAGTGAAACTTAATATGATGAGTGCGAATGAGAAGTTTTCTGAAATGGCACTTTATTTTTTAACTGCACTAAATACTTTATAATAAGAGCTCCAGAAGCAGCTGTCAAGCAAATGTTTTTTTCAGTTTTTTTAAGTTTGAGTGAGACAAAAACAGTTCAAATGAATAAAGTTATTTTGAGTCAGCCTTAGCCTATCATTCTCAAACTTCTTATTCAGACTTATTTAAATGTTACTTTGAAAACACGGTCAGATCACGACATAAACGTAAACATTTTTGAACGTTCTCGTTTCAGTTTTCTCTTAAATTCGTAAAAAAATTTTTTTGGACTTTAACGCCAACATTATTATCCCATTGTTGATTATAAAACCAATCTTTGCTTTAACAAACGACTCTGTCTGACAAATTGAGCACAAGAGCATCCTTTCACGGTCTTCCTTTACCGTAAATAAAAGAGATCATTTATCACCTCAAACAGGACCCTGAGCAACAAGTCTTGAATCCATACCTACACCGAAACATCTCCAACTCCGAATTGTAGGTGTCTGCGGTCACCAAACTAACCCTCTGGAGTTTTACACACTGAGCATTTAGAAAAATAGAATGCAAATGTAAAAGTGAGTGAATTAGAGATTTGCTACACAACTTACTCGTCTCTTCCGTGTTTTCTGTTGGTGAGTGAGTGTGAGCAGCCTCAGCAGGTCTCCACAGCTCCACAAGTGTCTGCTGTGCAGGTAGATTCAAGGTAAAGGTGAACGTGGCTCATTAATCATGGCGCTTTTGGCGGTTTTTGTCCTTTTATGGTAAGATGGACTCGCGGCCTGCACACCAGGAATTAAAACAGCGAAAGAACCAGGAAATAGCTGTTTGGTTTACACTTTTAAAATTAAAATATATGATAGTTGGAAAGTGTTAAATCTAAACTGTCTAGATTATTTAATCCACGTTTAATTTAAATGTATTTAAAATACCTTGTAACTAATATTTTAACTCATCCTGAAACAACATAATTTGTCAAATTTGAGCTCTAGTGAAAGTTATATGTGTGACACGCGCTGCTGCAACTTTTCACCGCTTCTCGTGTCATCAGGTGGGGATGATGACACCTCCGTGTGACTCGGGGGGGAAACGGAGGAGTTAACGCTGACAGGGCCAGTGAGGGCCCCATCCTTGTCGATAGCCTAACCTCGATGTTTCAATCAATAGAGTTTCTTTTTTATCCCCTCAATAAGCCGAGAGCTCGATAAGGTTGTCATCACAAATGACGCTGACGTCCGCGCTCTCATCCCCTCCGTGGATAAACATGCCTTTATTATGCCAATAACTCTTTACCCCAGGGACGGGAGCGCGCGCGGCAGCATACATTGAGAGACTCTGCCTCGCGTATAAGAGAGAAAATGTGTCCCCTTAAAAGATGGAAACAGAAGACAGAGATTAAAATAAATGTCTGATAGGAAGCTTTGCCTCAAAATCCTCGAAAAAGTCTCTCTAATACTGCCTCAACCAAGACTTCCTTTCAACAATGACACAGAGGGATTGTTTTAGAGGTAAACGCACTTTAATACACATGATTGACCCGTAAACGTCTCTCCTGACAAAACATCTTGTATGTGCTCCACTGGATTAAATAGACAACACACAAAAGCCTGGAACAATCGTGGCCAAATCTGACCGGCTCCCCAACTGATAAAACTCAGCGCCCTGCAAATAATACATGAAAGCATTACGCATCATGCAAAAAAATCACACAAAGTGAACATTCAGACGGACATAGACACACAAACACACCAGCCCTGAACACAAAGGTGACAGTGATTTAGGACGCACAGTAAGAATGCACTGTAATGATTCCGAAACGAGGTCATCTCGTTGATTGTGGGATGCCATATGGACATCCAGTGCAATCAGCCCGGCCGTGGCCATGACGCACAACTTTGGCACATTTGAGGTATTTGTGTGTGCAGACTTGTGACTTGACATAAAGCAGCACTGATCAGAGACATGTCTGAGGAGGATACACATGTCGCGACGCGTACTTGGAATTAGATTTCAAAATGAAGGACACACTTTAGACCATGGCCTACATTTCTTTGGACAGCAACGATACCATTTTAACACAGTACACAATAAAAAACAAATCCTTCACTCAGAAATAGTCAATTGTCAGTTCAAAGTCCTAAATAGTGCATTAACTCAGTGTAAATGTCCACAAATACTCTCAATCCACCATAACTCTGGTGCACTGGGATTAAGTTTGATACATACAGGCCGCCTGTGGCCTAAAGAGGTCAAGAGGCAGTTTAATTGGAGGAGGAGTAAAGATCAGCCCCTGTGGATGAGACTGTGGAGGATGAAGGAGATGGAGTAGATGGGGCTGAGATTGACTTCTCCGACTCTACATCGTCCATTTTATCTTGAATCCTCTCGCCCTGGTCAGAGGATGTAGCTTTGGCTGGCAGCAGCCCCTCCTTCTCCCTCTTTTTCTGCTTCATCCTGCGGTTCTGAAACCAAATTTTCACCTGAGTCTCATTCAGCTGCAGCGCGGCCGCGATCTCCACTCGCCGCGCTCGGGTCAGGTATTTGTTGAAGTGGAACTCTTTTTCCAGTTCTGTCAGCTGCTTGGTGGTGAAGTTGGTTCGGACCGTATTTGGCTGACCCCCGTAACCATACTCCCCGGACCTGCCTGTGGACAGAGAAAAAGATAGATGTAATTTCGCCTCAGGTCTCCTCCACCCACAGAAAACATGAGTTATAACAGCCTGCGACATTTGGCAACCTTTACGCAGCAAGAAGCACGTTTTACGCAGCAGGGGCAACTTTTACGCAGCTGAACTGCAACTTTTACGCAGCAGGGAGTAACTTTTACGCAGTGGGAGCACCTTTTAGTTGGCAGTTAATTAGTGTCAGCAACTTTTACCAATGCTGCAGTACATTTTTGTACAACTCAAATAATTACAAAACAGCAACTGTCGCTGTGTTTAATGATGGCACAATCAAGAGGAAAATGTAAACTTAAGCGTAAAACTCGGAACCCCAGAAGACTCGAGGTTGATTATACACCAGTGTGAAAGCATCTGCCAACATGTTTCATTAACTTCGATTCAAAGGGTTTAGATGTTTTACAAGCTGGTGTGTTTTCTGTGCCGTGTGGCACCCACCTGTCTTTGGTGGGTTCCTCTTCACTTTCATCCAGTCGAAAGTCTGTGCAGAAGATGCTCCCTCTGACAGAGGTGAGCAGCATGCCTCCAGGTGAGCAGCGTGCAGAGGTGACAGCGGGTTCGAGCATCCAGGAAAAGGGGTTGCTTGCTCGTGCCCGCCTCCGTATGCTGCATGGGCATACTGCAGCTGACTCAGGGGTGCTCCACTGTAACCTTGGCGATGCTGAGGGACCATGGAGGAGGAAATGTTGCCCGAGTACATCAGCGGGCCGCACTGAGGGAACCCTGCAGAGGAGTCTACTTCCTGGTTGAGCGCGTAATGGTTATAGGTAGTGCAGAAACTTTGGGGTCCATAGCTGGAGCTGCAGGCCGGATGGGCCCCATAGGCGAGACCCAGAGAGCTCGCGGTAGTCTGGTATGACCCCGGCTGGTGGGGTATGATGTCAGGGGAAGCCCTGCTCGCCATGAAACGCTCATCCGCACCGCAGTTGTTGACAGTCACTGCACACGACTGAAAAGTTGTAATCCCGTGGTCCGAGTGGAAAGCCCTTACTGAGCACGAGCCACCTTCACCGCTCATCACCGAGTAGTCTAAGAAGCTGCTCATTGTAGCATCGTTCAGCCGGGGCCGAGGGAACGTCCGCAGCACAGACACCCTCTGATCTCTTCCTCTCTGTCCCCCTCTTACCCTGAGTGACCGTGCCAACCTTTACCTATACTCTGTCCTGATCAGAAGAGGGAGGGGGCGCACGGGCCGATATCAATGAACGGGTGCTGTCACGTGGGCCCCAGGTCAGCCAGTAAGGCACTTGTCCTTATCCCCTCAGCCGGTGACAGATTGGTGTTTGAGTGGCTATTTAAATTCCAGGCGCTCGTCGATCAAGGTGACGCGCGTCGCCGCTAATGTATTGGCCGAGCAAACAATGAGCTGGGAGGCAGACGGCGGCGGACAGCACCGGGGTCGCACGAAGAGCTGAGACCGGTGGCTTCTAACCCCCTGATGTGCGCTCCTCTGCCCGGGGAAAGATTAACGTTTCACCCTCTGCAACCTCTCCGCGAGGACGACCTGCACTCTGACCTCAGGTACGGTATTTTCGGAACAGAAGGTGCGCGCTTGTGTGAAAGTGTGAGTGCGTTTGCGCGCACAAATTCGTGCATGTGCCCTCTGTGCGCGTGATGCCATATGTATAATGGTGTCATTCTCTCCTGGATGGATGGATGGCTCCGAGTGTGTGTGTGTGTATGTGTGTGTATGCGAGTGTGTGTCACTGCCACAGGCTGTGTGGGCTTTCAATGTCCCATTCCAATGCGAAGTGTTTCACGCTTTAACACTGTGAGAGATTGGCTCAGCAAATATTTTCACAGGGTGACAGTGAGGGAGAGGCAGGAAGTCTTCACTCCTGACACAAGCAGAAAGTCAGAGCTTTTTTTAAACTTTGTGCTCCATGAAGGTCGTTCTGGAAACATTTGGCTGATTTTCAGCACTTCCCGGGAGGTCACAGGTGATATGACGACACGACAACACATTAAACATTAAGTTGATGTGGTGTTAATTTTTCTCTCCCGGGGTCACGGGGTCTGCTATCTACTCTGATTTCACTCCCACATGTATTCATTATGCATGTATAGTGATCAAATAATGTGATAATGCGGAGCCCGTACTGGAGCTATAATGTGCACATATAGCCCGAGGTGCGAGTGTGGGCTGATTATCCCGTTAAGTTCATCAAATAAAGCTGTTGGAGAAATTAATGGCCACGGAAAGCTGTGCTGCGAGAGGGGGAAAGAGACTGAGGGGGAAAGAGAGAGGGGTGGGAGCTGTGGAGCAGCGAGAGCAGAAAGAGAAGCCAACCTCTTACTGAGGAAGGAGAAGAGAGGGGAGAGGAAGGAAGGGAGGAAGAGAGGGTCACATGGGGTAAAGCGCGCCCCCACTGGCAGGAAGTGGAAAACCACCCAAAACTGCTATGAGATAGGTATGGTGGCTTTAAAAAATAAGACATTACTTGGACTACTTAATGGAAAAATTCTAGAGCTCCATGAAAACAGTAGTTTTTGTTGATTTCGGAGCCCCTGTGGAGAACAGGGTGCACCACAGCTCTTTTACTCTTTACATCTTTGTGTCTGATTCATGCAAAAATCGTCTTTTTCCAATATTTAGGAGTATATGTGATTTAAATGTCAATGGTACCTTTTGGAATTAAATTTCGTGCCAGAATATATTAATAGAAGGCATTTTTGCTGTTTTATCTGACATCTACACTGCAGCATGGGTGACAGGAGTATTTAAGGAATAGATATATGTATACATTTTCACTCTTGATGGTCCCCTTTACATTTGAAGATCATAAAGAAACATAATCATAATCATTTCAGCCTGTTTGACAGAGAAAATAATCCTCACATGAGCTTTTACTAAAAAAAAACATGTAGATCAGCTGCATTTAACCAACCTGTTACTGTTAATACTTTCTGCTTTTCTATTATTATTGGCAATTAGTAAACCTGTCACCCAAAAGGGGCTTATCTGTTCCCTATACCTCTGTGTTTCTAGTATTAATGCTCTTTTTTGCTATTGCTACTTTTACTTAAATATCTTCTGTTGATTTTGGCGCCCCCTATGGAGTGAAAGGGAACAGCATTCAGTTTACTGATTCGTCCTTAATGTAAGTGGGTAGTATCTTTCATTTTAAAACCAATCATTACTAGTTGAGGAGTAAAGCTTAAAAAAACGAAGTCTCTGTAGGTTGCAGTAAATCCCTTTAACCCTGTGGCAGTGGTTTCAGGCGTTAAAAAGAACGACGTGGAAATGATAAGTCTTGATGCTGATGTTTCCCTGTCATGCAGCCGCATCAGTGTTCCTCTCAACCTGCTTTATAACCAGTGACTAGACACCAAAGTCTCATAACTGTGTTTTTTTGAAATGCTGTGTGCGTAAATGATCTTGTGGACCGAGTTCTCTTGGCTTTTAGACTCAAGTTGTCATTTAGACATAATACATTAACTTTGAATGTTGAAAGTTATTACCTTATCCACATGTTAATATTTTGTGTTTTATGACCCTCTGGAGAGAAGATGCAGAGCAAGTGCGCACTGGAGAATTGTTTTGCACAAACTTATAATATATTCTCACAAGATTATAAACAATTATGTTGTTTTCATATGATAATACCTGCGCATCAGACATTAAAAACAACTCTTGTGCGCAACTTGTAACCCCAAGACAGCTATACTTTGCAACCAAGTTATTTCAAAGTACTGTGCGCACAATATGCAAAAATACACTTTGACATTTTAGGATCTCAGTAATCTTACCGGTAACTGTGAGTTTTAGATTTTTTTGCACCCTTATGCAAAGGTTATGAATATCTTTTCTACATAAATTTAAGTTGAACTTGTCAACACGATGAACCATAGAGACGGTCTAAAAGTCTTCTTCTACGGCCATACTGGCTTTAAATATCTTCTATTTCGAGCCTGTGAAATGTTTAAGAAAGTCAGGCGATGATGAAAACTTCCCACCAGAGAGAAAAAAAAGAGGCGCAGTGGGGTCAATACCACCACCCCCTCCTCCATCTCTCTCTCTCTTCCCTCTCTCTCTCTCTCTGTCTTCCCAGCTGCCTCTGCCTCAGCACTGAGTGAGTGGGCGCAGTGGATCCTGCTGTATGAGAAGACCTCACCGGGGCCGTGTGGAGCTTTCTCGGCTCTTTGTGTTGCACATGTGTTCGCAGAAAAGGCGCGCTGTCTCGGAATGATTTGGTTATGCTGGGCCTGCAGTTTAGTCACTGGAGGATCACCCCCTCCCCTTTCCCCTTATACCCCCTCCCTATAAACACACACACACACTCAAGTTAACCAGTAGGCTAATAATGTCTAGCAAGTCGATGGGCTGATTATGATTTCTAGATTATTCGATAAACCACCACTGAAGTCTCGAGCTCAGGAAATTCATGTGGACTTGAGTTTGTGAAACGATCTGCGACTCAACCAGTGGTTGTTTCTCGCACAAAGCAGCAAAAGTGGGAAAGCATATTGAGTCAAGCTGCGCACGAGCTAATAAACGATTCCCATAAGTCAACGCAAGAGCAATACAAGAGACCAAGACCTCCATAATCCCCGTATTGAACTCCTAAGACTTTAAATAGAACTGCCCCAATGATGCTGTTAAGGAAATATCTTTAAAGTGTAAGCCAGATATTACCCATTGATATTCCCTCTGCAGCCATTATGAGGAACTGTTGGCTGATAAATTACAAGTAGTCCACGAGTAGTCTGTTTGGAGTTTGGTCTATTAGCACAGAGGGAAATAGTGCAGCCTCTAACCTGCAGGCAGCTTCTGCATGCTGCCGCTGTGGCCGAGCAAGAACCAGAGCCAGAGCCGTGTTTAAACAAGCTATAAAAATGAGTTATGACCAAACGCATGCAGAGACTCAACCCCTTTTAGCGCAGGAATTGGGGAGTCCCGTATGAAAATGTAAGTGGGGTTTTATTTGTGCACATTACGCCACAATTGGTCTCCTTAATGTCCGTCTCATTCATGCCACGGAGTGATTTATGAGCTCCTGAAGGCAAACATGGCTCGGGCATTCGGCTGCAACATGCACACAATGTTAAGAGTGCTGTCATGCTAAGATCCGGGCTGGTGTGTTTGCTTTTACTCTGCTAAAGTATGAAGTTTGAAGGTGGAAATGAAAATAATCTCGTGTTAGGGGTTGTGTAAAGAGGGGAAAAATAATCAGTATCTGTGCTTTTTTTTTCTATAAACCTAAAAGTTTTTCATGCTTCAACTTTGCATCCATGATGTGCCAATTTTTTTTAGGAAATGTTTTCGAAATAATCACACAGAAGTTTGGTCAATAATGTAAATCCTACCGTTTTAAAGCCTTTTTAAATAAAAACTAATAATAATAAATTAAAACACACACACAACACACACTTCTATTTTCAAAAACTATTTCACATCATCAGTCTTACATAATTAAAATCCATCTTCAAAACGTACATCCAAACCTGTGCGTCCCCACTACTCAACCCCGTCTGCGTAATTTATATTCATTGCCAACCTGTTGTTAAATTTGCATAACCTCCCTTTCTCCCCGTGCCCTACTTTTTTTTTTCAATTTTGCATATTTTTCCCCATGAATAATTCAAGCAAAAATACTCAGTGCGTAAATATACAAAAAGAAAGGAGTCCAAACACAAGAGGAAAAGATTGTAGCAAGTTATTTGTATTCTAACAAAAATATCCAAGACATTGGAAGCTATACAAAAATAAAAAGGACCAGGTTCCATAGGCCTAATATTGTATAATTATTCACACACACACTCATAATTTCCATTCCAAGAGATCAATTTGTTCTGGTAATTACAAGTTTGAGTAGAGCTATTTCAGTGATTTAATTCCGTCCTTACCTTGTATTAATGATCAAGTCAAACATCAACAGAATAAATGTGCCGAATATACAAATAACATCAGAGTTAATACCACCGGAGTCTGATTTTAATGTCCAGAAAAGGGGCAAAAAAAAAGAATTATCGTGATTGATCTAAGTCAATAGTTCAGATGCTGGAGGTCGATTGTAGTCAGAGACTCCGAGAAAAAATAAAAACTGTCCGTGGAAATATCCACGGGGCTGTCCAGGGACTCTGACAGGCTCGGCGAGGCTGCGTCGGAGAGCTGTAAGCAGGAATCCGAGGAGAAAGGCTGAAAGTCGTGTAAAGAAACATCCAGGGCCGGGGGACTGTCGCCATTGTCCGGGCCAGATGCCGAGCCAGGGCCCATTGTTGACATGCAGCCCGGAACAGTGGGTGACGGGTTGGGAAAATGTTTCAGATTTTTGTCATTGCTGTTCAGCGGCGCAGCAGCAAAACCCAAAGCTTCGCTATTGTGGAGCTGCTGCGTGGAGCTGAGAGAGTTATTCTGAAAGGAGCAGGTATCTCTCTCCAGCAGGGCCCCGCTCCGCTCGTACATGGGGCCCGCCTCGTCCTCCTCCTCCTCGCTGTGGATACCGTCCTCGGCGCACGGCCCTTTGCCCTCCCCGTTGTGATTCTCCTTACTCTGCGTCTGCCTCTTGTGCTTCATGCGCCGGTTCTGGAACCACACTTTCACCTGCCTCTCGGTCAGGTCTAGCAGGGCCGCGATCTCCACCCTCCTCGGCCGGCATAGATACTTGTTGAAGTGGAACTCTTTCTCCAGCTCCAGTAGCTGCGTGTTGGTGTACGCTGTCCTCAGCCGCCGGGAGCCTCCTCCTCCTCCTCCCCCGGCACTCTCCACAATCTCAGGCGAGTCTGGAAAACAAGCAAGCACAGTAGCAGCGGATTAAAAAACGCAGGACACAACAGTTACATAACCCTGCTGCCTGTGAATCTAACATTATGGCTCTCTCAAACCACCAGAGAGAGGCTGACAGCATGCTGCAGCAAAATGGCCGCTGGAGCTTTACTGACCCTTGCTTATAAACCTTTTAACCAAAAGCAGAGCAAGCTAAAGATACTAAATAGACTGTTTTACGCGTGGAAAAAAAGTGCAGCATGGTGGTGAAGCAAACGGGATAAAAGCAGTGAGGTCCAGGCTAGTGTGCGATACTAATGAATGCTCCAGCTGCCCTCCTCGGCAACGGCACTCCATCACTCTTCATTACTGTCACACATCAAAACTCTGCTACGGCTCGGGGAATAAATCATCTTGCATCACCAAACTTTACCCAAACTTTTTTCTTTCTTTCTAGAACATAAGCGCAAACAAATAACCAAATATCCATCAGAGGAAAAAACAGAACTAATGTGTGTTTTTTTGTTATAAGGGAAGGGCCTATAGGCTCTGCATTAGCTCCAGGTAGTACAGAGTTTTGCTGTAAGTGTTCGAAAATTAACCCACCTTTCGGAGAAAAGCACACAGGTCCATTAGAAATGGCGGTGGTGGCGGTGGAGGTCGGCAGGTGGTTCCTCTTGGACGCCTTCTTCTCGCGCATCCACGGGTACTCCGGGGGTAAAGAGGCTGTGGGCAGCGGGCTGCATCCGTCGGGGCTGTGCCTGGGCCGGCCGTGCCGCGGATGGCTGCCCGGGTTGAGGCTGGGGATGGTCTGCTCAAAGGGAGGAGGAATCAGTGTCGGGCGTGAAAGCGTCGAGCTCTTGATTGATGAACTTTGAAATGAATCAGCGACAGGGGGGAAAGATGTCAGGCACTCAGCAAGCGTCGGCTGACTATTGATAAAACCGCTCTCTCGCTCGAATTCGTAATTCATCTCCGCTCCCTGAGAGCCGAGGAAAGTTTGCACGCGTATATTTTAGAAATGTTGCGGCTCAGTGAGGACGAGGAAGAAAAAATCATTAAAAAAATCTCCTGGTGGTGTTTTTTCTATTTCACTGATTACGGCCGTATGGGGACCGAGCGAGTATTAAACTATTGAATTCATGGAGACAAGGTTGAAATTGGACCGAATTGCCTGTCACATGATTACCTCTGCCCAATGACAATTTGGGGTTTAATCAAAAGAAGCCCCTGTCTGCCTGATTGATCCAAAAACTCTGCTGAAGAACGCCTCGCTCAGCTGGGGCACGACTGTTTTTATTTACATCTTTGTCCGCTCAGTTTATGCTCCTCGCGCCCCTCCAGTCCACTCCACTAAGCTACAAAATGTGTGTTTTTAAGAATGGCTGACGCTCACTATTACAGGGAAGGAGCCCAGCCTGGGGTGCGCGGATTCGTGCACTCCTCTTTCTCGTATTGTTTGAAGATGTCAGTCGAGAACGCCCCCACCACACACTCACACTCACACACAGACACCAACACACACACACATTTCACGCCAGTAGCTATTCATAAAGGCAAGAGCCTGCCTTCAGATATGGAGAAAATATACCCCCTAAAAACTCATATTGGGACTTCTCGACAGAGGCGAAACCCGAGCTATCCAGTTTGCTCTTCTGTGGCTGCAGGAGGGCAGTGCTTCTTCACAGATGCACAACAGTGAAATATGCAGTGCATCCATTGACATGTGTTGCAATAAAAAGCCCATCCATTAAGTTAATACTGACGGATATGACACAGTCAAACCATTTCATCCAGTAACAGCTGTTAAACATTTACAGATAAGCTCCACAAAACTTGTGAACAGATACTAATGAGTGCGTGTTTGTGTGTGGACATATGCATACATTAACGCTATTTTATTAGAAGCCTTTGTATTAGATGCCTCTTTGAATATGATGTCAAAGCAGGAGGATTTTTTTTTTCGTTTATTTCACATTTTTTGAGGAGGTCATGTGCGCCCATGTGCGTAATTACACCCAAACATACTCGGTTTAACCCAGATTTACTCATTCATGGTTTCACACATAACGCCAAATTATTTAAAATAATCAAAATCCTCCATAATTGACACATTTCCTCTAAAATATCCTCATATTTTGGACGTTCAGACTTCCTTTACCTTTGTACGAGGGCTTCAAAAGCGTCAGACTAGAGCATGGGTTTACTGAGAGGCCAGTTGCTACAATGCTAAGGTTGTACCTCACTGTTTTTTGCACAATCAATTCTACATGGAATCAAAATAAAGCTAACATCAACACGTTCACAATCGACCATTTAAAACGAGCCCAGTCGCAGCCAAATAATGTCGGAGAAAGTGTTATTGAATGGCTCTACCCCGTGGTGCTGCAGCGGTTTTATAGCCTCTCCAGAATCATCTGCGGAAGCCACATTCGGCATGTTTTTCATCAAGCTGTACATGCTGTAAATTTATTCTATCAGGGAAAAAAATATGGCGTAGTGGTGAGTATAAGAGAGAGGAAGAGGAGAAGTGGAAGGCCTCTCTCAGTTTGTTGCTTATATACCAAACAAAGAGTCCTGGAAGCCTGCGCGCGATCAATCTTACTCGCCAAAAGGTCTGACAGCTCGGTGCCCTCACAACACATTTAAGGCTTCTAACTCTCCTCCGGATCAAATGCAGCCAGGAAGCGGCGAGAAACACTGGCCACTCAGATTAGAACCAGTTTTGTGCTCGCAGTTGTAGCCGGGCTGTCGCTGGAGGGAATTTTTTAGAAGATAAATAAGAATCCAGCCATACAAGATGCCACCATTTCCTCTTTGGAGGAGGTATGAGTGCGCCAGCGGTGAGTAGGGGAGCAGCTTCCACACCTGGCTTTTATTTTTTGAATTGTGAGTTTATTTGCACAGCGAAATGTTTTGTAGTTTTTTTTCTCTTTCTGTGAGAGGTGCAGATTTGTGAGGAGGACCAGACCTTGTGGAGTTGCTAGGGGAAGAGATGGATGGCTTTTTTGGAATTACGCACGGGCTTTGTGTGTGAGGAAAGGAGTGGGTGGCGGCTTTTAGTGGACCCCAAGCCTGTCCTACACACTTGTCTTACAGCAGGATTGATTTAAGAGCTCTTTCCCACGGAGGGAGAAGCAGTGAAAGAAATACAGAATCTTCTGTTTCAGTTAAAAACGTTATTTATGAGCTATACCTGAGCGTGGCGCATATGGGTCAAATCAGTGTCTGACTGTGAATGCGTGTACATGTGTGCGCGCCTGTGTCTGAGTGAGTGTGAGTGTGTGTGTGTTGGATGCAGAAATACTCAGTGCATTAGGCTTTTTTTTCTGCTGTGACACACCATGGTTCAATTGTTCTAGGTTTCCCTGCTAACCATATGTCAGGGCTGCTAATGTTCATGCCCTCTGATATCAATCAGTGCAAAATCAGAGAGGAGAAATAACACTGCAGAAACACAAAGACATAACATGTTAGCAAAGGAAAAATTCGAGGGGGTTAAATTTTGTGAAAAAAAAAAATAATGTGCTGAATGTAATCCCTAAAAACGAGACATGCTAACGAATCATGTACAGCCTCCCATGCGCATGTACTTCTTGCTTTTCGAAAGAATAACTGCGGATAATGAAACACATTTATATTTTAAAAAGGGTTTTGAAAATTGCTTGACTTTTAATTTCTAAAAAATCTACATACATGGAAACATGAGTGCCATTTTCAGCACTCATGTCTTTGAACCATCCCTGTATCTGAGGCTTTTGATTTGAACTTGTTTTCCTTTAAATCTGCAAAATAATGAAACAAATCAGCCCCACTTTGATCCGAGCTCAGCTGTTTTACTTTCCGGCTGCTTTTGACTGATTGAAAATTTAAGAGAATTATTTTACAGACGATTTTTCACTTGGCTTTTTGTCTCTTTACAGAATGTCCACAAACGGCCCGCCTGACATTTTTTTGATATTGTTATTATGGATGTGCCCACGCGGATGAGAGAAGAGGAAAAGGCCACCGAGAGTTTAACTTCACGTCGAATAAAGAGGATGGAAGAAAATAAATCAAGTTGCATTTATTGAGTATTTGTTTGTGTCTGCTGTCATTTGCCTCTTAATATTGAATGTAGCCTCTGCTTTCACGTAACTCTGGGAAATATTATATTTCTTTGAACAAACCATGGCGGATTATTTTGGTTCTAATTTGATAGAAAAGGGAGATTTTTTAAATTTTTTTAAAGAATTCTTTTAATGATCATTTTGCTGTTTAGCCGCCACAGGGTATTTGGCGAGAAAAATAACATGTAAAAATTAATATTCTAACCATTTATTTATTTTCTTTTAAGATTTTTTAAATCAATTTCGTGACCGTGAAATGCTTCTGGTGCATCTAAATTAAAGGCTGTGCTGCAATTATATTTCAATTATTTTTATTTATTTCTTCGGACTGGAGCAGCATGGAATGTATGACATTGAAAAGAAAAAGATGTTGTGTGTCTTGTTTTCTTCAATAAAGAAACGTGTGTCCTTCTTTGCACCCTTATTGCATGACTGATTGATTTTACATTCGCTGAGAAAAGAAAAAAAAATAAACAACACCTCCTCGAGAAGGAAGAAGAAGAAAAAAATGGAAGCATAGCCTGTGATGGCAACATGGTGCTGCTGCTGCTGCTGCTGCTGCAGACGACATGTAAAGGCTGGAAAAGGGCCGAGACGCTAATTTTCCACTAACCTTCTCCCCACATAAAGATCGCAGAGGTGTCAAATAATACTAAAGGACTCCTTTATCTATACACCCAACAAAAATAAATAACATCAGAAAGTCCAATAGAACAAAACAAGCAAGGGAGGTTGCGTGTAAGCCTATGACCCTTGTGTTTGAAAATGTGTCTCCCTCACAATCCCAGCTCGTGGCTCTGTAAAGGATTCTTTCACAAGTGCAACAAAATGCAAAAAAAAAACAAACACAATTCTTCAACTGCGGATAAATAAAAGACGGACAAATTCACATTAAAATGAATAACATATGTTCATAATACCCTGTTTGAGATTCAATTTGAAACAAGATTTCAAAAGAAAGGATTAAATAGGTCTATGCATATACTGTGCCCCCCTCCCTCCCGCTCTACAGCCCAGATAAAGGTCTTTGTGAGACAATGACACGAGCAAATAGAGAAAAATTCAAGCAAGTCGTGATTATTTATCCTACGCTACTTCACACATCAAACTATAGAGAAAATAAACAAAAGCAGAGAGGAGGTGGAAGGTGGAGGAGGCGCAGAAACAAAGCAGTGATGTGTCTGGAGGTGGGTAAGACAATGGGGCGGAGTGATCCACCGCTACAGATGCGTCAGTTTGGGCGCTTCCTGGATTCTTCCCTGAGAGTAGTGCGGCGTTAGGTCTGTGTATGTCGGTGTGGGATCACACACTCCGTGATGCTGACTGTTGCCCATTGTGATTGCTCCGTTGTAGTCCATGTTTGCGGACGGCGGGTGCGGGAGGTGGGTCAGACCGAAAACGGAGGTCCCCGTATTGGGCATTGAATCCATGTAACCTCCGCCGACATAAACAGGGCTGCCCTGTATGTGCGTCCCGTAGTTGCCATTGCCTTGGAGAGGGTGCGCGTCATACTCGGGCGTGGCCGAGTCGGTCCCGGGATACCTCTTCTGGGAGGGCGGGCAGTTGTTCAAAGAAGGGGGATATGACGTGGCCATACCGTACGCATTTTGATGAGGTTTGTTGTAAGACGTCGGCGACTGGGAGTCATAAGGTACACTGTTTACAAGAGAATGCATAGAGTTGAGGTATCCTCCGCCTCCTCCTCCACCGCCCCCACCACCAGAGGCAGGGCCCACAGGACTCCGAGGAGACTGTCCACCAGGGGAAGGCATCATCCCGACGCCTTTCTGATCCTTCTTGTATTTCATCCTGCGATTCTGGAACCAGATCTTGATCTGTCTCTCAGTGAGGTTGAGCAGGTTGGCCATCTCCACCCTCCGGGGCCTGCAGAGGTACCGGTTGAAGTGGAACTCCTTCTCCAGTTCCACTAGCTGCGCGCTGGTGTAAGCTGTCCGGGCCCTCTTCGATGCTGCTGACCCCGGAGGACTCTTGTCTCCGGGGCAACTCTCCACTGTCAGGGAGGAGGAGAGGAGGGTGTCAGTCAGTAATCCATTACAGACAGGAGAAGAGGTGTAAGAGAGAGAGAGAGGGAGAGCGGTAGAGAGAGAGAGGGAGAGATTGAGAGAGGGGAATGGGGGAGTACAGAGAGAGTAGAGTGAGAGTGAAAGCTAAACCGTGTGACAACACTCACACAGCTGATAACAACTTTAAACCATCACGGGGGGTGGGGATCCTAAGCAAACAGTATACTAGATAAATAAGCCCTGCTCCACTACTTAAATAGGGGCTTTATCATCGACTCTTTCTCTCTCCCCCTCCTCCTCTGCGTTCACGCACGCGCGTGCACGAACACGCCTCCACGTGATGCAAACATCAAATGTTGATAAATGTTTCGCCTACTGTAGAGCACGGGGGTTATCATAAGGGTTACATACAACAATTAACAAGCAATGTATGCACACTGCGCATGCGCACGCTACTCTAACACTAGATGAAAACTGGAGAATAGTAGGTCAGTATCTGATGTGAAACCAGGTAACCTCAGATTTCCTGCGAAAACACTTTGACCCCCATCTTCCCACGTAGTCACAGAGTAGTGTATGCGTAATGCAAACCAAAGCATTATGTATTCCTCAGGGTGTCTAAAGCTGCTCGCCTCTCCCTCTCTGATAAGCCTCTCCCTATATGAGGCTGGAGTATGGATGCAGAGCAGCAAGGCGTTGGTCTACTAACTGCTGTGGCACGTGGCCAACACTTAATAAATTTTACTACCTGTCATCCAAACATGGAGCAAAGGGAATGAAGCATGGCGTTACCTGAGCCATTAGATTATTACAGACATGAAAGAGAGGTTAAGAGGGGGGAAGAGGAACACCCATGTATGTACAGCAATCATTTATGACAACGATTATTACTGTTTGATTATTTAATTTATTTTCAGAAGTCCTGTGGATAGATTCGTCCAACTGAGACTCAGAGTAACGTTAGTTGAGTACTGAGTTGTTGTTTTATGGTTGTGCGTAAAATGTGCGTAAAAAGCTTTTTTTCCTTCATATAAAACAGCTTTATTACGCGTCATTTAAACCAATAAAAGTCACCAAGCATAAATTACAACGAAGGACCACATTTGCTTTGTGTGCTTACTTCATAAGGCAGAAGAGAAGATTTAGGACTGTGGAAGATTATTGAGGATTAAGGATATCAGGATTAACAAATAAGAAAGTCAAGACGAGATGAGATGAGCGTCACTGATATTTAAACTAAGGATGTTCATTAACATCTGGGAGAATAATTACCTTCATACTAACTCGAAGGTTTAAAAAAGGAAGGACCTGGCTTGATATTGTTGGCCGTGCGTAAAATGGCATATTTTGTACTTTTACGAAATTTAGTCTCTGTTGTCACATTTTCTTTGAGTATATACGTTACTGATGTTTTAACATCTATGACCTTTTTAGTTTTCTTGGTAATAGAATAAACTATAGTTCCTTCACAATTTAACTGTAGAATCTAGTCTGGATTTGTGCGTAAAACATGCGTAAAAGCGTCTCCAAACGCACTCATCCTGAAAATCTTTTCCTGACATTAATAATTATGATTATAAAACATATAAGACGCCATATTGCTTTGTATTTTCAACTTTCACTATAGAAAACTAACTATAACTACACTAAAAAATAAACAAGATTTAACATTGTGATGAGAGCTCCTCGATGGTGACATATTTAATTTCATATTGAGTTTACGGAACTGAAAATCCTCAAATCACTGGATTTTCTTCTTACCATAACACATAGATATTTATAAAATGACACATAAATCAAAATGATTTATTCCAGCAAAATATTTTTTAGAAAGTATTACACACACAATGCAGTGAATGCGACGGCCATGGGAAGATGAGCACCTTCTGGTTTGGAGACTGACTCTTGGTAAATACGAGACCCTAAAGCACAACACCCCCTCACACCGTCCCACCAAGTCCCCCTCTAATCAAAACATCAGGACAAACTGAAACAACTGTTGTGCGTGTTTGTTTGTTGTCTCTGTGGGAACATTGTGTGATCAGTGGAGATGCGTGTTTACAGTAGGGGCAGGTCAACTGCAGGGCACAGGGACGACAAATGGTAGGATCTACTTCTGGCAAATGTTTCTCCGCAGCCTCCAATCTTCATCTGTAAAGGGTCATTTGTGTTTTGTGGTGTATATGTTGCGAATTAAAGCGTTAAAGAATAATCTGTATTCATTTTTTCCCGCAGTAATATGTAATTAAGAAAATAATGGCCTATAATAAGGAGATATCATGTAGAATGGAGTCAAATGAAGATGGCACAGTATAACAGCAAAAATACCCTTGGTTGACTGCACGTCGTGGTGATTTGGTTTTGGTATAAATAATAAACATTCTCCAGGTCTCCTCTTCTTCCTATCTCCTTACCTTACCACCTTCACCCTTAATTCACTGTAAGCTCCCTAAACAAAACTTATTTAACTGGTGAGAGGCTATCTGGATGTGTATGTGTGTGTGTTTGTGTCAGTGTGTGTGTGTGTTAGTGTGTGTGAGCATTAAGTGGTGTTAAGGTGTAAAGTACCTGAACTGGAGCTACTGGTGGGTTTCTGCTTGGTGTTCTGACGGGACTCCTTCATCCAGGGGAAGATCTGTTTGCTGCGGGTGTTGGAGGTTGGGGAGCCGTTCTTTGCACTGGGCTGGCTGGACCCGTTGCTCGTGTTATGGCTGATAGCACCGGGGGACTGTGAGGGAGGGGGTGGGCCTGACACCGGCACCTGCGGTTGATTGCTTTCGGGATGAACCTTAGACTGCGCCGCCTGAACGGCTGTGGTCCTGTCGCAGCTCTCCGCCATCTCCCCCGGTTTCTGCAGAGCCACGGAGCCGTCAGGAGACTGCAGGGAGCAGGCAGGTCGATGGTACTCACTTTCCACATGAGAGGCGCGGGGATATTGGACCTGATTGGCATCATAACTGAAGCCATTTGCGCTTTGATATGGGTAGCCACTGTAAATTGCAGAGCTGTCGTAGTAGGTTGCCTTTTGCATCTCGCCGTTTCCCAATATTTATTTCAGAAACTGACAGGGTCTTGACACCCTTGTAGAATAACATTGGCACCCCGTGGTCACGTGACGCCTCTCCGCCAATGGCCTCCTCGGGTGAACCTAGGGTTACAAGAAGCACTGTGAGGAGAAGAAATGGTGGCGATCCATCTTACTTTTCAATACAGGCGTGACACTGGAGACTATGGAAGCGAGATAGGGCCAGCAGTCCTGTAGACTATTACCGTTTACCTTCTGGCTTACACGGGGCACAAAGGCACGCACTAACCTTGTATTACCATCTGTGCCAAACCACATCACAACAAAACATTTTTACAAGCATTTCAGATTGCTAAATCAATTTTTGGAGCTAACTACAAATGTGAGACATTTTAAACCTCACAGCCGGTTAACAATGAAACCAAATACAGAGATACGTTCACAGAATATTCTGGAGGTGTTGTAAGGAAAGCTTGTTAGCGGGTTACCACACAGGAAAACAATATTTCTGTTTTATTGTTATTCAACCAACAGGCCTGTCAACGCTGTATCTAATTTCCTCTGCAGCAGGTGGAAATATCCTGTCTGTTCCCACAAACTTTTAAACCTTTTTGTCTTTCACTGTGAGAAAAAAAATCTGTCTTAAGTAAAACAGACAGACCTCAGCGTGCCGAGCTTCCCCGGGGCACCTGGCTCAAAGCAAAAAGAAGAAAAAAAAACATTCTCGGCTTTTTTTCCTTTGCTTTGCATGCTGCAAGATAAATGAAGGGCCGCGAGGAAACCTGAAAAACCGGGCGGGCGCCCGTGCATCTCCATGACCAAAGAGTGAACTTTTCCTCGCAGGCCCATAATAATGGCTGCTGTCGGTGCTGTCTGCGCGGCGGCCCGGCTCAGTGATGTATGTGGGGTCAGTGGGCCGGAATGAGCGGCCCCGGTGAGTAGCCAGGCCCGGTGCTCAGGCGGACAGACACCCGTGGAGGGGGCTGCTAGAAGCGGCTGCTAAAGCATCATAATTCACGCAGGTAAGCATGGAGGTCAGCCTCTGAGAGATTATAGGGAAACTATAAACTCTAATGGACACAGATCACCGGGTCATTTTAGAGAAAACAGTCAGAATGTGACTCCAGTAATGAAACAGAAAAGATTAGACATGGACCCCCCTGTGTGCTTTCTACAAGGAACAACAAGATGCTTGATGCTGGACAGATGATAACGATACTATCATCTATTACGAGGTTCACATGTTTTACTGAAGTCTATCAATTTAAAAACAGGAACATAGAAACTAAACATACAAATAAAAATGAAAAACGCTTTTATATAAAACACACGCCTCCAAAATTAGACAATTCTTGTCTCTGCAACCCAAACAAACCCTCGCCCTGAAAAGATAGTAAAGATGGTTTGGAGACCAAATGAAATAAATTCAGATTAAATAAAACTATTTGGCCTGCTTGGTCCAAAAATAGAAAAATAGTCCAAAAAAACTAATAATATAGCTGCAGAGGGATTAAGATAAAACCATTTATTTCACAGTGCATACAGGAAAAATACTTAATTTTCGGAGCAGCAACATAACAAAAGGTCATTTCAATCAAAGAAATTAAACACGAGTGTTAAAAATATCTTGTGTTTTGCATTAGTGCACAACAAGAAGTAAATCAGTCAAAATGAGCCCTAAGATTCACCCTCGGCACAGCCAAACCGCAGACTGAAAGAAGGTGTCTTCACGTTATGTGCACTCACGGTGACCTGAGAGAAGATATGAGGGAGCTGGGTGCTGTGTGTCTCCAGGCGAGCCATAGCGATAGTCATAAATGGCAGAGAAAGAGAGACAAATGACAGACTGGAGCGTTTGTACGTGGAGCCGCAGCAGCAGCCTGCTCCGCGTTAGAGAAATCTGGCTGCCTGACTCAGTGTGTGTGAACTCTTCCTGAACCGAGATCTAAGTCATACGGTGATAAATCACCGCGCGACACACAAACTCCGCCATTTACAACCGAGGGAGCCTATTTCTGGCCCTGCTTACCTTATCCTCTGACGACGAATGCAGAGCACCGAGCGATATTTTCTCATTCAGCGACGAAATCGATCAAAGCAGTAATCCAGAGAAAAAGTTTACAAGCAGGGCTGGCTGCCTGGCTGAAGCAGCAGCAGCAGCAGCAGGAGGAGTAGACTGCGCCCTGCCATACACCAAGCATTAGCAGCCACAACAAAAAAGGGAAGAGCCGAGAGAACCCCTTTCCTTTCTTCCTTTGCTTTTTTTCCTACTCGACGTGGATGGGTACACCGAGATTACGAAAGCAGGCGCGAGCAGTCAGGTCAGGGAGATAAGACTTATCTGGCCTCAGAATTGAATTTATCGTCCTGCTTAAAGAGCAATGGCCAGAGCTTCATATAGCAACATTAAAGTCAGCTTAGGCTGTGCTGGGCTGTGTGATCCTTCACCAGTACCATGCAGACACCAGTGAACTGCCCCGAACCAGAGCGTCACCATAGACAAAAAAAATTATGCAAATAAGTAGCGCCTTGGAAAGCCAGTTCAAATCAAGCGGCTGCCTCTCCTCCTCCTCCTCCCCCAGCCAAATGAGCCAGAGTGTCTAGAAAAAAATAATGCCTCGTTACAAACAGAAAATGAATCCGTTCTGTGAGTGTTTTAATGTTTTGTGTTATTTACACAACGCCTTGCAGTGCAGTTATGAGCTGAGTGGCTGAGATTTCTGATTGAAAGAGCAGTACAAAGGAAGAGTCAGCCGCTTTCAGGAGGACATAAAGGGCTTCTATCCACAGCTTAATCATTAACCCACATTTTTGCATATGATCCTCAATCTTTTGGCACCAGGACGCGTAATTCGTTCTCGCTGCACAGCCACGTTCTCCTCCGCCTGTAAGGCTTTTTCCCCTTTTTGCAGAGTACAATCTATATTCTCAGAGATTAGACGGAACAACAACTTCACATCAAAGCCACGTTCGGTGTATATCAAGGGAAAATCCCCACCGGGAGCAGGGTGTGAAAAATGGGAAGAAGTTTCATCACCAAAAGGCACAGTGGAGGACCTGCAGCGAGGAGCGGGGGAGAGGAGAGAGCCGGCAGCAGGGGGAATCCCTCTGCAGGGTAATGCTGCCTCTTTGCAGCCAAAAGGAGAAAAAAAAGAATGAAAGGAAGAAAAAAATAGATTTATATCCTCTCAGCTTCCCGCGGCTGTAAACATGTCCAGATCTGCAGCTTCTTTGCTGCTTTCAAGCTTTTGGTTGAATTCAACGACACAATTCAAAAGGTAGAGGTAGAAGACATGGCCGGCGTGGGAGGGTGAGTGGGACAAAAATTCACTCGTGAGGATTTTTTTTTAGCTAACTCGGCTTTTCCTTTAAGTCTCTACTTTGTTTAATTATTGACTTCTTTGTGTTTTAAACTGCTGATTCGTCTTCTTTATTCGGCCCTGAGCAGAGGTCTTAATGTCAAAGAACTGCTTGTTGTCTTCTGCTGCTGCTGCTGCTGCTGCTGTGCGTAAAAAGGCTTCAAACCACATGCGCAGAAACAAAAACAAATCGAAAATCTTGATAAAAGAAAAACATTTTTGAAAACTTCAACGCAGCAAACCGGAGCAGCTAAAAGCAGATGGCTTTCACAGAATGTAGTTTTTGAAAGGAACGAGGCAACGCTCCAAGTGCTGCGATTCCCCTCGTCACTTTTATAGTGACAAATTACACCACAAAGACAAGTGGAGGAGAAGGAATTATTGCTCTCGCGCTGGTCATATTGCTGCTACAAGGAAATGTACAAGCCATAAGCTGCCTCTCTGTCCCTGCGCGAGCTTCGGTGGGCGTGTGCGGTACTTATTAGAAATTGAATAAGGATATCACCATCAAGCATTCATAACACAAATCAATAAAGATATATGGACTTACCGAAGGCAGTTCAAGGTGGCTCCGAGACCGTTCGATGGCCTGATTTTACTCGGCTGGCTTTCTGTGAGGAGGGAGAAATGTTTTGAATTTTTCAGGGATAACACAACCTTTGAACTGGTTTAATAAAATATTTTAGTGTTCACTGAATTTGAATTTTGCTCTTTTTTAAAGGAGAATTAAAGAAACTAGTCTGTTTTATTGTGCGTAATTGTTTGGCCTAATAAAGGGCGCAAAACCAGACATCTGACAAAGGGCTGATCAGATTTAATGAATTTAATGTTACATTTTAAAGATCACTATTTAGGTGAATTTTTATTTTTTAATTGGCAAATGTGATTTTACCTTTGTAGTAGACGCTATAATGACTAGGCTGTATTTCCACACATATTTAACACTCTTAAAATAAAACCGTCCCTAAAGACAAAAGATCATCAATCCAATCTTTAAAACGCATAACTAAAAGCCAAAACGCAAAGATGCACCTCTATCAAACCTAATAGTCAGATCATATTACCTCTCTGTGTAATATCACCATAATATCAAATGGGCCTCTATATGCAAATACCATGTTTGTTGTTTCCCTGCTGCCCAGTGAGCATTTTCCCCACACGGATCGAATAGTCATTAGCTCTCGCGCACCATCTTCCCCAAGTCCCTGCGCCCATAAATCAAGCAGGAGCGCCGTGACCTCAGCGCGGCCGCGCGGTCCTGGATGGCACTCCGTCTCCCATTATATCCTCGTTTCCCGGCGGAGCGACACAACCCCACCGCTTTGCTCGACTTTTTTATGGCACTCGTTTTATGTATCATTTACGCACAAAACGACACGACCCGACATGTTTTGTTTTGTTTTATAGGATTGGTTAAAGCTCGGAGCGGCCGCGCGCCTTGTTTGGATTTTACTTGGAGGCAGATTTTTAAATGGCCGCTTTATTTACAAACGGGTTTGCAGGCCCATTTGTTCAGATGGCTGATCGTCCAACACTAGGTCTGATTAAAAGAGAATTATTTTCATTAATTCAGGATGTTCTGTTTCATTCTGACTTTTAATCAACTAGCTGTGAATAAATGCATCTCTAGTGGGTATTAATCCACTAAAGCCTGAATCTCACTGACCAAAACAGATACTTGGTTGATAACCTATATACAGTGTATGAATTTTAAAGGCCTATTTATGTGTTGCTTTATGAACTAAAACAATCAGACATCGTAACAGAAAGATGAATATATATATAGCTTATAAATGTCTATTTTCTCGCCCTGTAAGAGCTCTGGGCCCCCTTTTACTGACCTCTGCCTCGCGCAGCAATAACTCACGACAGTAATGAACAATCGGCGGAAATACCTCAAAATAAAATCCATCCTCCCAAAGCTTGCGCTCTGACTCTGTCCGCGTGAAAAAACATATCCGTCCGTGATAGCAGCAGAATACATCCACAGAGCCGGAATCCCCTCAGCCTCAAGCCTGCCTCTCTGCTGCTTCTCTCCCCTCGATAAATAAACTACAAAGCCCGGACTCCCCTCACGGTAAGTAGGGGTAACCCGCGTCTAATCAGCATCATATGGCCAGACCGGGGCTCCGGTTTTCTTCCCCGTGCCATAACATCGCGCAGTATTATGCGCCCCGCTCACGTGACGCAACGTCAACTTAAATCCCTTTTATTTGAGCCCGTGAATCATTAATGGAGGCAGTCATTGCCCCTGAGGAGAAACGGATCAGTTTGGAGGGAGAAAAAAGAGGGCTGTGTGACACTGCAATGTATCTGGCAGAGGAGCAGGTCTCTCGCAGAGAAGCAGCTTTTCCACGTGTCGCCCATTCAGGGGGAAAGACTGCTCTGTCAGTTTTAAAGTGCCATATATTCTGTGCCTGTTAGCGGCTGAAAGAGCTAATCCTGTTGTATTATGCCGAGTTTCAAGTGCAGCCACGGCTCCGAGCCAGGCTAAAAGCGGAGTGTTTTACACTGCAGTGTGATAATTCGCACTATGTCAGACGGAGAGGGCTTCTCCACGCAAAATGCGATTTAGAGCACAGTATAATAATTCCTCATCATTCCTCCTTCCTCTTTACAGCACAGCCGGGGCTACACTCAGCCTTACTCACTATCGCCCCCCGCCCTCAGACCCACAGTGAGGTTGTAGCACCACTTAATGTGCCAATGGTTCTCCATCAGCAAAAGCCTGCATGCTTTGGACCAAACTGAAAACAGAAGTCACGCATTTACCTGTCCTACGTAAGGAGGCTGTGCGTCCTGGTGGTCGTAGGGGGAGTGTGTCAGTCAGCAGTGGGCGGAAAGTGGAGGTGAGAGAACCAAAGAGTGGCTGCTCGACCCCGCTGATCAGAACATGGACCCCCATTCGACCTACATGCGCTTACGCGTTTCCTACCAGCTGAGGGAAATTACAGGTTTGTGTGGAGGAAGTTTGGAGATTTTGGACAGAGGGGGGGAGGAGGGAATGATAGAAAAAGTGCCAACTGAGCCAAAATCCTTCTGCAATTTCCCTGAAACTCAAAGTTATAAACTAAATTCCGTCGCGAAAGCGTGCCACGCGTGTGCCATGGAGGATTTCTGGCTTGTGCCACTGCAGGTTTTGCCAGAAGTCTCAGCCCGGAAGAGCTTCTCTCAACTCGGCACCGTTTGGCGCTTGTTTTCCGTCAACACCGAGCGGCGGGCGTGGAAAAATCCCACCACAACTATTAATCATGTGGGGCGGACATAGACAGCATCCCACTCCCACACCAGCCTTTGTCCTCTCGAAGTACAAGTTGGGCGGCAAACTTTTTAAAGACTGGAACAGAAGTGGAGCTGCTCTTATTAATTCACCCTCAGTACTCCAGAAAGAGAAGAATATTGATGATTTAGAGTTTGGGTTCAAGTTTTACGCACGGAGTTAAAACGCATGATAATGAAAGTATGAAAGTAGGACTAATTCTGATTTGAAACTTGAGGTTTTGACGTTTGTATTTTGTTCTCCTTTTGTCATCTGCAGGTAGAGCTGTGGGTTGGACGGCATGACTGCACACTGGAAGCTAATCCCTCGCTGCCTTTCGCCAGCGCACCTGAACTCTTCCCTGACCCGGGCAGAGGCTTTATAGGGAGTCGAGTGGGAAGTTATTTGGAGTTCAAAAACAAGCTGAAGCTGGAAACCAAAAAGGCCTCAGCTAGAAGCAGACGTATTTTACTTTTTTTGCACTACAAGACTTATCTCTTGCTTGAAAAGTTGTTCTTGATTGATTACATTTCAGACCTTGGCTGTTTTAGCATTGAAAACTTTCAGATTTATTTACACAAATCAGGGCTCCTTATCATTGTCAGCGAAGAGGAGCTAAAGGCACAGACCTCTGGATGTTGGCCAGGCAGAAGTCCATATCTTCCCACAATGTTGACACTCGGAGCTCTCAACAGGCAGGCGTGGGTTAAAGATACTTTCAACTGGAGATAAAAACTCTGTGAGGTTTACAGCGGCCAACATCAAGGCTAACGCGAAACTCGGCGCTTTTGCAGAAAGTGGAGACGTCTCTAAGGAGGACCAGGGTGGCGTAAATGTTTGCGTAAAGTTGGTAATAATAAAGTATTTTGAATATTCTTGCTGAATCTACTGACTCTTTATTATGACTGAAAATGTCCTCTTACTGTGTTAAAGGTTTCTGTGCTTCAGCTGCAAGATTGCCCTCTTAAATAACAGAAATATATAATCATGAACATGTTCATGTTGTCTCATAACTATGCCAATCAACCGTTGCTTAGATTTACCATTATGTTCACTCTCCTTAAAAGGCTTTTTAATCAACAAGTGATGCTTTTGTATTGTCACTGTTGTCCATTTAAATTACTATTATTTATATGTTTAACTGTAAAACCATAGATGAACAATTTAGAGGCGAAACATTGAACTTTCTAGAGTGTATTTCCAAAATAATGGCTGAGACTTGCTGCGTCTTTTACGCATACACAACCTTTAGAGTGAACTTGGCATAATTTACACAATTTAGCCTCACATTTAGTGATTGTCAGCCACACCACTTTTAGACACTTAAACTCTGCAAAAAAGGTTAATACTTCAGTTGAAAGTTTTCTAAAATCTGTCTGATGAAACATTTATTGGGGACAGTATCGTTTTTGTGCTCTTGAAGAATTTTCATAGATAGTAATTTACACCTGCTGTCTTTAATCTTAAATAAAAAAAAAATAAATATAACAGAAGTTTAAAATGCAATCTAAATATATTTTCTAACACAATAAGTCATAGATTCATAATTTGATAAAGTATTTTTGTTTTGAAGCTTCTAACTTTTTGCATTTTAAGTGAGAAATATCGTCATTAGGGGTGTCTAATTTGGAAGATCTCAGAAACTCAAAGGCAGGATTGTAAGAAGATCAAACTGCAAAAAGCTGAATTTACGCCCAATCGTGAGCTTTGCCCCTTTCCCAGAACGTTATATTTTTTCTCAAGCCTAAAAGGAAGAACCAGATCTACTCACAGGTCATGACGGTCCAGAGTTTTTGTCAGGGGAGAAGAGATGTGACTCGCACCCTGCAGAGGATCACTTCGAATGAAAATAAGGCAGATTTTCAGATCTATTTCTGACCCCGGGGGCATTCATTATTTAACAAGTCACGTGAACCGGCGAATTAAAATTTCAGAACATTGGAAGTGACCTCTATTCGCGAATCAAATGACTTGAAATCTGTAATTGAACAAGTTGGGCTTCTTGGAGTCTGCGCAAAATCGGTGTCAATCAGCCTGAACGCCATCTCCTGCACAAAAGCCATGTTTGCAGCAAGTGGTGGAGACACAGATAGTGTCTATAGAGGTGGCTGCGACGTTCAGTGAGTGCTGTTTTGATGACAAAATGCGACGGAGTCAATAAAATGTGTATTAACAAGGATTTAAAACATCAAACATATTGTTTGTATCTGTCACTTTTCGATTTTCTTCTGTGGGAATCTTTGTTTTATGTTTTCCAAATAAACACACTGCAACCCCATTCATTATGTGTTTATTGTCCTAAATATCGAGCAGAAACCATCAGTGCCAAAACATATTGAAGATCATGCTAAATTACACGCACAAAGCCAGCCTGTTTCAGCTCATATCTGCGCCCTGCACGGCCTTGACACGAGTGTTTCTGTGATGAATCGCAGAGGAGCTGTCTCTTGAAATAATTTTTGGAAAATTCATGGCTCACATTCACACCTTGAGATCGTTTTTGTTTCCGCGCTGTCTTTGGGTAAATCTTAAATGGAAAGAAAAAGCTCGCGGAGGTCCCAGCGCTGATGTATGATCTGAACACTGTGTGTGTCGAAAGGTCAGGGGTCAGAAGAAGTGCTCCGAGGCGATGATTGGCCAGAGCGGGCCGTGTCCCCTGGTTGAACTCCCTATTGTTTGGATGTAGCAGGTAGTGACCAACACTCACACTCTGGTGCACTGAAGCTGGCTGAGATGTCCTCATAATGCAAAGTGAGAACAATATGTGTGGACAGATACATTTAACAATTTAGGGTTGGTTTAATTCCCGCGCGCTCAGCAAAGCCTGCAACGTAAGCAGCTGATATCAGCCCCATAAATTCTTTCCACATTTCAACTTTATCCGCGAAAATACGCATGACATCCGTGCACATTTCACGGATTAGAACTATAGGCAATTGAGCAATAAAGACATAATGGAGGGAGGCATCTCTGCACTTTTTGAGCAATGTGTTGCAGATGAGCTCTTAAGTTTGCAATCCTTCTCCCTGAACTGTATCCACAGTTTACACACATTTTATTGTCTGAACCATCTCATTTAAAGTAAATCTTTCTGTATGAGGGACTGCGTCATTTTACGCACCAAATGCCAAAACAGCTCCATTTCTGTTTTTCCTTGAATATTAAATTGAGATACATTCAGATAAAGTAAAGATGACAAATCAATTAAAAGAAACAGCGTGGCGCAGTGCATTTCCAATACTCGGACACACTTGTGGAATTTTACGCACGCATCCCCAAATACTGGATGACTGGATTAAACGGTTTAAAATACACATTTACTATAAAAATCTGCACAGATGTTTAAAATGAAAACAAGCTAAATGAAACTGAGCGTCTAGGGTGGAATATTAAATCCACAATTTAGGAAACTTTAAAAGAAAAGGGCATTTTGGCACGTAATTACGCGCTCAATAATGCATGACGCGCTGAAATCAAATCTCTATTCGTAGAAACAAAATGTCCAAAACAAAATCAGCTTTATAAGTGAAGTACATATTTATTTCACAAGGACACATTGATTCTACACTAACCTACATCACAGCGGTCATTACTGAGACAACACATACAAATATTCACAGTTTAGAACACAGCACGACATGGGACGGACTAGCACAAAGAAAACTCGACCTCACGACACCAACGAACAGAAATCTACATGACGAAATTCTTTACTTATTGTGCCTTCATTATGATTTGCCTATGTACATAAAAATGTGAAAGTCTCCTGGACTACATTCAACAGTAAACCAACCCACTCAGACAAACAAACTACACTGTTACTCTGACTGATGTCACTCCTCTAAAAACAGCCGTGTGGTTCTCTAACAGGCATCTGAACTCTCGCTAAATATCTTTCAAGTATATTAGAACTTTCCATGAGCAATAATAATAAAAAAAAAGAATCATAAAGACATAGAAAAATGATCTCCAACTTACTTTAACCTCACTCAATTTTAACCGTAATAATACATTTTTGATCCAAGTCCTATGTTTGAATGTGCGTTATCCTTCCTTTTATAATAATAAACAAATATATAAACACTTCAGTTGCCACCGTGGCAATTAAAGGTGGATTTCAAGCTTATATGAAGTGGGCGAGGACGAGCGGAGTGAAGGGGAAAGGGCACAAAGGACGTGACAGGGGCCCAATGGCAGAGGCAAGGGAAGGAGAGAACACCATGAGTGTAAAATACTGAGAATCGGTCCATCAAATTCCACTTGTGTTATTTGCCATCTCAGTCTGGATTGGGGTTCTTGCGGGGTCGGGGGTTCGCTCAGGCACTATAGACCTGCGGTGCACGGCGTGGGGACGAGCTGCTGGCCTGTTTTGATCTGCTGCTGCTGCTGGGCCCCCGAGGCTGAGGACGAGGCCGAGCTCGAGGAGGAGCGGATCTTGGTGTTGGGGAGCTTGTGCTCCTTCTTCCACTTCATCCTCCGGTTCTGAAACCAAATCTTGACCTGACGCTCGGACAAGCACATGGTGTGAGCGATCTCCACCCGCCTGCGCCGGGTCAGGTACCGGTTGAAGTGGAACTCCTTCTCCAGCTCCAGAGCCTGCTGGCGGGTGTAGGCAGTGCGGGACCTCTTGGGCACTCCTCCAGTGTAACTGGCATTGACTGGGAGAGGGAAGAAAAGCCATATAGAGGCAAGCAAGCAGGTGTTACATGATAGCGTTTATTCCAGAGCGCTTTAATTCCTCCACTGAGCACATTACACGCTAAAAAACTATAAAACATGAGTAGGTTTGCTTTGAATTCAGAGCCGCACTATTTGTTTTACTCTCTGTCGTGTTTCAGTTTACAGAGATGACCTTAATGTGGAGATGCCGAGTGTACAAGCACTCGCATCCAGGGACAGATCAAGCTTAGAAATGATTAACAAAACAGCGGGGTTGGATATTACAGTTTGGCTCGGCTCCAGTGGTGGAGGTAGTTTGGGTTTAAAAAGCAACAAAGGCACATGGCCCCGACAGACGAACACAGGCTATAAAATTTACGAGGGTCCTTAATTACCGACCCTGCTGCTCGATAGTCGTAAATTGCTGTTGTAAGGGCTGCTACTAGTGCTGCCTCAATAGGCTCGCGTGTGTTCCAGTGCTTGTTTCTCAGTGGTTCTGCTGTTTAACCGTGACGATAACTCACCGGTGCTAACGTGGACCTTTTTCATCCAAGGATAGACCACCGGCTCCTTGCCCTTCGCTACGCCGGGATACACCTCACCGGCGAGGCTGCAGTCTTTGCTGGCATTTGCCCCTGCGCCACCGTCTGGGGCCGCGGTGAGGCGGGGACCGTGGCTCTGTGGAACCGGCTGCGGCTGTGCGTGATGCCCGTCGCTGAAATCCTCGAGTCCGGTGGCGGGGACGTTACCATAATCGTAGCCCGTTTCTGTGTAGTTTGACCTCGGATAGGATGGCTCGTCGTGATGGGGGAAGCCCGTATCTTTTGGCCGCTCATAGTAATCACCGGGGTTGGGGATGTATCCGCTCTGCTGATATTCGTCGCATGGAGGAAAGGAAGGCTCGATATAGTTGGAGTTTATCAAGTAGGAACTCATGGTCATTAATTTGTGAAGTGCAACAATACTAATTTTTATCGCGCTGTCGTTTTTCTGATCTCCACAAAACCCTCCTACTCCCTGTCAAATGTACAAAGTTGCCTGGTCACGTGTGAGGCGCCACCAATCACAGCGTGTCCTGTGGGCATCATGTAAACAGGAACCAATGGAAAGCATGGCATTGGTACCACCAACGCTGCTCGGACTGGCTTACGTTGGTGTTTTCCTTATTAAATCACAGTATATAAAGCAAAAGCAATCAACTAACTTGTTTACTGCATGAGGCCAAACTTCTGTGGGTGAGGCTTTCCTGCACGAGAGAAAAATCCACATCCTCAGGAGGAGACGGTGGATATGAAATTCAAACCCCTGAGAAAATACAGACCCCCCCTCTAAACAAAGGCTGCTTCTATCAGAGGCATCATCAGAATGTGGTTTTTGAGCAGAAATAGGTTGAGTTTTTGAAAAAGAGATGACCGAAAGGAGCAAAAAAAACACCCACGAAAACCACACAAGCAGCTGCAAATTCAAAGGATGGCAAAAGAAAGCTGCACGCGCTCAAATGACGATCATCCTCTGCGGACACACACGCGCCTTCATAGAAAGTCTTGTCATTTCTAAAACCTGGACAACACCACACACACGCAACAATACAAATCCACTCGATTCTCTCACGCTGTACACGCGTAAACACCTGAAAAAAGACCCTGATCTTTCATTTCACGACTACAAATGTCTGAAACACTTGCCCCTCCTATGAACAAAGAAATAAAAATAACTTCCAGATCATTTTGCTTCAAGTTTGTGCAAAAACATCCCAATAAACTTGGATACACTCCTTGCGCATTAATCATTTGGTCCTTGTGGTTTTAAGTCCCATTAAAACAGACCCACGCTCTTGCAGGTGCGCGTGTGCTGCATTTAATGCCACAATAAAGCGTGGGATTTGTAAAACAACACACAGAAAGATATTCAGAGTGTTCTCTGTAAATCACGGACAAAATTCATATCTAACACACCTTCCTTTTTCTTCATAATTCAAGATTCATACAGAAACATTTTGCAGTTAAAGTTTGCTGCTAATTTTCTATCAGTTTCTCATTTTTTCCATTTTACTTTCCAAATTTTGGTGTGAAGAGTTTGTTTGAGAAGTCTGCATTCATTTCACATGGAGTAGCTTGTATTTGTTTTGCTTCTACGTACTAAAAAAGCTTTAAATAAAGTATCCAAAAACAATTCCAGCCTAAATTTTCTGTGTGCACAAATCTATCTTTTTGCAAAGCAACTTGAGGTGAGATAAGAAGTTAGTCGTGTGCTGTAACAGTAAAATATTGTACTTTTTAAAGAGATTAGTTAGAGTTAAGAAAGCTAACCACTTCAAAGATCTAAAAATAGATTTCATACTTTTTGAAATGCCATGTTTTTAAGGACTAAAAATGCTATAAGTTAGGCTAACCCTTTGTCAGACTCAGTTATTCGTAAATACAATATAAATATGACGATTTCCTAACTCTTTATATTTGAGATGATTTTTAATCTGCATATTTATTAATAAAAATGCAAAAGGGTCTGACCGTGCGCCTCGCCTGCAGCCATCACGTCCAGCCCGTCCAGCCTCTCCATGTCCTCGGCGGCTCACTGTATCCGCAGCTCCTCTTCACAAAGCTCGTCCTCACTGTCCACGTCAACAAGGCCTCTGCATGAAGAAACAAGAGGCCAAACTTCGGAAATATTGAAAGCTTTCTTTTTTCACTCCTCGTCTTTCTTTTCAGTCTTTTTATTTTTTTTTTTCTCCTCCTGGTCGCCCCCTCTATTCTCCTCTCTGTGGCCGCTCTACACAGAGATAACTTCTGCCTGACCCCAAAGTGACACCGTTTCCATTTTGTTTCTGATTAATCTTGCCCATTGACAGTCTTTGTTAAACAACAAGGCGTGCCCCCTTTTTCCAAAGAGGCGACATTTTCATATCTGTTAGACGCAGTGACCTGAGGTTCACCCCGGACTTGGACTTCAGTTGTCCAGGATCTGTTCAGTTCCTGGGGGGAGCTAATGTGGGGGGTTAATCTTAGGAAAGGGCCCAGAGGATTTTTAAAAATGTGCAAAAGGGGTTCAAGTTTCTCGAAAACCACACATCGAGCTAAGTGGTGGGTAATTTTGCGACAGAAGACTGTGCAACTTCGAGGATCCCCTTCAGAAAAGCGGGTACGTTCATATTAAATCTTTGTTTTTACTTTTAAAACGCTCATTCTCATCTCTAATGCTCTTGTTTTGGACTTCACCGACGTCAAACAGGTGTACTCTTTTACCAAAAAAATAACAGGCCTCAACTTCTCTCCTCCATTTTTCTCTCATGTGTTCACACTGTTGCTGTAAGGCAGAACTGCTGCTGCTACCTTGTGTGTCTTACAGCCTTCCTCGCACCTAACTCATTGTAAATGGCAGCTCGTGCTACTTCCCGCCATATATCCACCGTGCATCCGCATGGCCCAGAGACCACCTGAGAGGCAATATGTCAACATAATGTCAACGGTAAGACGACTTCACATGATATCTAAATTTACAGTCTGCTGCCATTCTGTTATATATGTCCAGTGTAAATATGGGCCACATCAGCTCGGCTATTATCCACTTAGACTCCGACTTATCCTCGCCTGAACATGGCACCTCTCTTTTTACAGGTACTTGTTGCTAAAGACTACTTTTTCTCTAAATTCTCAGCTGTGAAAAAACTAAATCAGAATTGTCCTTAAATATGATTAAGTTCTGCAAAAGACTCATAAGATAACACTCCTGGTGATTCCTCTGTTATCTCCTGTAGGCCTGCCAGGTGCTACTGTGTTTGTGAATGCCATAACGCGCACCGAAATCTCTTTACGCACACGAAATAAGACGATGATGATCACCCACAACAGACTGTTTGACTAAAAATAACAATAAAATGATGCTCTGAATTCCCATACTCAATATTGAGTAATTGCCATAAAATTTAAAGTTATCTTTTTGTATCTTAATATGCAAAAACAACCTGCAAGAGCCTCGTAATTTTACTCTGTGTCTAGCCAACAGCCGGATCATGGTGTCCCCTTCCAGAGCGTATACTGTGATGTGAAGGTCTATTTAAGCTTATACATCATGCTGACAGTTTACTGTAAATTTAGATTATCAGAGAAGTGCTGTGACGATGGTGACAGATTGCAGATGCTCCTCACAAGGTCTCCTGTCTATCCGGAGCTGTGACGGCCCCGGATAAAAAATCCTCCCTGCCTTCAAGATGTGACGAAGATTCAGGCGAGAAAACACTTTTCATACCTTCATGGAAATGTTTTGATAAAGGTGAGCTCTTGGAATAAAATGTTTGTCTTCTGTGTGTCAAATGTGTGTTTTTCTTACAAGTATTTGGAAAACGGAATGAGTTTTTTCTCAATAATGTTCACTATTTTAAGATGCAGCAGTAGCAGCCTATGATTAGACGGACATTGTTGTGACCTTCATGCCTTTTAGAGAGTTTTCAGAGGAGCTACATCCTTTAGAAAGTGTATGGACAACTTCCTAAAGCCCTCTGAGTGGTTGGTATCCAAAACGCACAGCCATTACGAGAAAGACCCAAATATCGTTTCCAGGTGGTTGAAAGAAAAACTACAAATGTGTCTTAGAGACTAAATTATGTGCGTAAAATCAAAGTTACTTGAACATAAAGGTCCGTTTACATGATTCACAAAACTGTACTGATGTGTTCTGGTCGACTTTTAACTGAGCATGTGGGTTTTATAATGAAATGAAATGAATTCATGAAGGGGGGTGAATTTAGAGTATTTACTCGTAAACTCTGACCTTTACACGTATTTTCTAAAATATTAATGTCTTAAACGAGGTTCTCTGAATTTCTATCAACCTTTTCTGGACAATTAAACACTCATGAGGGTACAAGAGTACAAAATCATCTATCGTTGCTCATTGTTTGTCCACATAAAATGTTCATTTTCTACAAATAAAAGTTTTGTATTTAATTTATGAGAGAAATGTTTCTTTTTTTATTAGTTTCACTTGTGAGGGATAATGAAAGTTGATGAAAGTGAAAGTGATTCATAAGTCTGTGTTATAGTCTTTTTAGTGCCATCTAAAGTCTGATTTGATCTGTTTTTCTTTTTTATTCGTCTGCGTGATGTTGTTGTTTTGTTTGAAGAAATCGTGCACCACGGGAAATAACTACTTTTTTCGCTACTTTGCATTTTACCAAATAAAATAATTTCATCTCTGCACGTCATGGAAATGGTTTTGTTTTTGTTGTCAGTCTTTTATAATTCTCTTCTCCTTTTCTCAGGTTATTTTCATTTTTCATTCGGCCTTTACAACAACTACTAAAGGTTCTTTATTTGAGCCCGCTGGAAAACAACCTGCTCTTATTTTCCACAGCGTTTAAAAATTATTTAGATGTTAAAGTTTATTTTTCTTTTTAATTCCCACAAAAATATAAACACACACATTTTAGAACTTTCTTATTGTTAGTCACAAAAACATCTGTGCCATTTCTACTTTCTTTAAAGGCGTCTATTCAGCGGATCAGGAAGAGAGGGGCTAAATGATTTTTAAGGGGTCCGGGGGCTCGATTTGGGGGCTGTGGGCCTTCCCATTACCCTGTGACCGGGTCGAGAGTATCAATCCTCAAAATGCAAATTTCGCCCTCGTCCCCAAACATATCAAATGCAATTTATTCAAAGGAAATTCACCAATCAACCGCCCTAATAAAACGCCAGCCACTCAATCTTGTTCCCGGGGACGGGTGGGGGGTCCCCTCCCCCGGTCCCAAACGCGAGGTCACCGCGCTTCCAGGGTTCACCTGGAGTGCACCGTGCAACATATGTAATTCAAAGCTATTCTGTCTATTGTGTGGAGAGTCAAGATCGCTATTATAAGGCTGGCATCAAGCTCGGAGAGAACAGATGACTGAGACTTGTTCAGCGCGTAAACTTTTGACCCCAATTTTTCCTCCTCCTCTTCTTCTGCTGCTGCTGCTGCTGCCGCTATCTCCCCCTCATCTGTCCCATCCCGGCGAGGCATCCAGCCCTCTTGAAACGAAAAATTGATTTCAACAATGTGTTTCTCTCTTGCCATCAGGATGATCATTTCCCCAAATTTCATAATTAGAGAAGATGCCAGGATAAGACCTCAAACGCGATTGTAGCTTCATGGTGCTTCCAACAAGGGAGTGGAAAGATAAATCCAATCGGCTCCCACTCAAGACTAATAGAGCTGTAAAATATGCAAATCATTCATTAGCGTTATAGAGACACCAAAGCAGCCAAAAGTCTTTGTTGGAGGCCATTCTTAAAGTTAAACTCCCACTCTCTCCTCACATTGTGTCTCCTCTGTTGCATGATGCAACCACGGGCTCTGTGTCCCCTCACTAAATTCATTTAACGCATTATGCTTATAGGCGACGCCAAGCAAACGTGTCATTAACGTGAAAACGCGCGTCTGTGCGCGCGTTCGTGCGCACTACCTTGTGGTGTGTGAGTGGTTTCCTCTCTCTCTCTGCATACAGCAGGCTGACAGTGAACTTGGCCTAAAGCGAGCTCTGCTGGTGGCTCAGAGAGGATGCAGATTTATCTTGGTGCTGTGGCTGACCTCCAGATGAACCTACAGCTCCTCTCTCTCTCTCTCTCCCTCTCTCCCCCTCTCTCTCTCTGCTTGGCAGTTTGCCGCACATGGGGCCCTGTCGAAATATCTTATTTTGAATTATTGGATAGGCTTTTAATTTTCAGATAGATGTTTCTCAATGTGTCCTTTTATATTTATAGTGCGTCCTGAGACTCTGCTTGGAATACCGCGCGTAAAACTCCGCTGTTTGTTTAACTAATTGCTTCTTTACATAACAATGAACTAAAAGTGTAAAGCTTTGAATCGTTGGATAAAAGCGAGACATTTTTGGCCGGTTTGTTTGTCTTGTTTTATGTTTGTCCACGTGTGGTCGAAATTAAAATAAAGAAAATTATCGAACTGGAGTTTCGTTTCGAGTGAGAAGAGTTTTAATCTATCCAGTGGAAGTTTTTAAAGCTGCCCCAGGTTCAAATTTCTACCAGGATAAATGTAAAAAAAATTTCCCAAATTGACTGAATGGTATCATGTGATGGTTCCGGATTGTGCGGTTTAGGCCTGGACATTAAAAAAAGTCGTGCAGTCCAGGATTGAATAGCTGATGGGCAAAGATACTTTGAAAAATCCGCTCAGGAAACAACTTAAAGAAAGCTGCCAACGCTCATTAGACTCAGATGTCCGGTAATATTCGAGATGTTTTCATATTTGGCTTCCAAATGTCGAATTAGAAACGAGCGCATCGAATCACAAAGTCCTTAAGTGAAAAACTAATCCAGGAGTGATGAAAAGAAAAGGGCCAATCCGTCCAAAAGAAAAAGAAAAATTAAAAATAGAGGAAGGAGGAGAATTGTTAATTTCCCGTTTACAGTCCAGGTTTTTTTTTTTTTTTTTTTTTTTGGAGGGGATCAGGGTCGACTGACCGGTCACTGATCGGACAAGAGGTCAGCGCAAAGCGAGAGTGACTTTTAAAGAGGTCATCTGAACTTTTCAACCCCAAACACAAAACGACGTGGCAGACACAAAACGGAATTCCTTTTCAAACGTCTCCCTGCTGCTGTTTGTTCCCGTGTTGTGTTTACTTGACAGTGTTTACAGCCCGGAGCCAAACACGGTGCCAACATGTGGAGCGCAAAGCCAAACCACAACTGCAACTTTTTTTTTCTTTTTTTGTTAATCCAGTGATGGAGCAACAACTTCCAGAAGTCATGAGCACAAACAGAATCCAATCGTAAGTGTACAGGCCAGCATTAGCGCGTAACTTCATCAGGGGGGACCTCCACACTCCACACACCCCGTGGAAACTTTCTGGCTCTGTGAATCCTCCAATGCAATAAAACGACAACAAGTAGAAGTTTGAGGGGGTGGAAATGGACACAGAGATAATTATCCAACATGTAAAAATGGATTATGACTTACACCACAGATGGAGGGAAACAAGTTACACGGGGAAGGAAGCAATTAAATAGCCATGAGCCGGACCCAACCCTGCGCAACATCTGCCGAGACCAGCATTCAGCACTGCACAACTGACAAATTAGTGTAATGGCCTAATAGGGACGGATAGAGCGAGCGAATACAATAATACGGCTGTTTGACGCAGCCTGGCTGCTCAAGCGCTACCGGAAAGTCTGCAGAAACTTACCCAGAGACGCGCTCCTCGTCCTGGAGAGCGTCCGGTCCATACTGAGGCAAACAGACGCTCTGTACCGGTCAAGTAACACTTACAGCCTGCAAAGAGAGAGTCAGACGAAGCTTCGCCGTCAGTGCGATTATATGTTATGTGCAATATACTGTCAACTCCCCAAAACCATAAAACTTACTTTAATGGCCACCACGTGACCGTTTATGGCCAGTGAGCCTATCTGGCCGCGCTCCGGATGATTTTTACGATCTAATTCATAGACAAAACCCCCCATTCATTTAGCACCCAAATGTCAGAGAGCCAGAGTCGAGCCTAATAAAGTTTACAGCTGGAAAAGTCGAGCTGATTCTCCAGGAAAAGCCCAGGAGTCTGTGCGCAAAAGGGGACGCACGGCCCCTGGAGCCGGTCAGTGAGCATGGACCCTTAAAAAGCCCCCCAAGCTCCAGCAAGGTGAGTGAGACATGTAGATTTCATTCAAGAGACCTGTTGAATTCTGGATTTCAAGAGTGGAAACTACGGCTAATTCTTACAGGTTAAATGAGGAAAATAAAACTAAAACGTAGATTTACTTTTTCCCATTTAAGAAACGCTCCAAACGTGGAAATGAAGTGTGGAAATTTTACAAAAACTCACCGAGAAGTTCCAATTCCAGTAGAAAGTTTATTACGCTGGCAATCATCATTATTTTTAGTATTTTCATAGCATATTCTTGACTTCCAGTCTTTGAAAAACATTTACAAAAAGCTAATCACGATGGAGTTATACACGTAAAGGCGAAGAAATGTACCGTGGAGTCCTCCACGTTGAAACAATGGACACGGTTTTAATCAAATATTGCGTTCAGGTGAACAACGAAAACAGCAGCTCCTGATGAGGACAAAAAAAAACCCAAATAGAATAAAAATAAAGATAAATGCAAAAGCTACTGTACATACGAGACTGGGTCGGAACCTCTGTCCATACATGTGTCCACAACGCAACACAATAACCACACACGGCTTACTGCTGGTTCTACTTTTTTGGAAGCAAGTTTTCTGACAAGTTGGTACAATACATCAAACAAATAAATACATACATATACAGTACATACAGAGAAAAACCAAAGCTTTACACAGAGGCAGCTCGACTCGAACCCTTATTTATCACAGGGTGTTATTGTTCTGAGTGCATCACACAACTTTTACTGGATTTATTTGCGGTATGTAAGGTAGCATTTCAAGCTTTTATTATTTTCTTTTTTTTTTTCGTCTGAACAAGAAATAATTTAAACAAACATTTATGTTTCTTTTTCTCCTCTAAATCTAGACAGAACTGTACAGAATGCATCTTTTTTTTTAATCACATAAGCATAACCACGGTGGGGATAAAAAGGAAACAATATGAAGGAATATAACGGGGCGGTTGTTTGACATACAGTGGGGTTTATGGTGGGGTGTCCCCCCTCCTGTCCCGCACTCAGCCCCTTTAACAAGTCTCTGCGCCCTTTGAAGGAGGAAGAGGTGGAGAAGTTATTACAATCTGTGTTTTATTTCTCATAGTGCTCGTTATCAGGGTTGAAGGAAGGGAATATCAGGGCCTATAGCCTCCCCCGCCTGCAGCCGCCATGTTCATGCTCTTCAGTTTGTTGTCCTTCTTCCACTTCATCCTGCGGTTCTGAAACCAGATTTTGATCTGTCTCTCTGAGAGGCAGAGGGCGTGGGCGATCTCGATCCTCCGCCTGCGGGTCAGGTACCGGTTGAAGTGGAACTCCTTCTCCAGCTCCAGTGTCTGATACCGGGTGTATGCTGTCCTGGCTCTCTTGCCCTCTGGTCCGGCCAAATCTTGTGCGTAAAGAGAGGGAATAATGTTAAGAAGGGTTGGTGCGAATACCTGTTTGAACCCTAATTTCCAACATTTTTGCATATTTTTGCCTGTTTGGTTCGTACAGGTGAGAACTGTGTAAAACTTGGTACTTCACTTTAATTTTCAACGCCGTGTCTTAGCTCCCTGGAACATTTACACACAAGGTACTAAACAATAATACACACCTTTAAGGAGCAATTTGCACTATAAAATGTGGTGTGTGTTCTGACCTGATCAATAAAGTATTAAAAACAAAAAAACATAATATTTAAAGTCATACACCCTACCACTAAACTTAAGATACGTATGTTTAGTCCTAAAATCACCCCCTTTACCTACTCTCTGCTGACACTGAACAGCTTTCACACACCAAACAGGTGAGAGGCGCACACGGCGCCACATGCCCCTTTTGGAAAGTCCACGATTCTGTCTCCTAAAATAATGAAACTTTAAATAATTTAACATTTTTGCCTGTTACAAATAGTTTAAAAGCCTCTAAAAGGGGTTATAAACATAGTTACTCCTTCCCCAAACAACCCACCGCGCCACGTCTCTAAAATCAATACAAGCTAATTAAAAAGAGAAGTTTTCATACCGTGATTTATGTGCAGTTTTCTCATCCACGGATAGATCTGAGGCTGTGAGGAGTCGGTGGTATTCTGAGGAGTTGTCGGTGCGCTCCCCGTAGGCTTCTCCTCTTCGAGGGGGGACGCTTTGGACACACAGTCCCGGCTGAGCAGCATCGAGCCTCCGTTGGAGCTCGAGCACGGGGTTGAGCACGAGGTCGTGATAGAGTTCTTCACGGCTCGATGTTGAGGCTGAGTCTCGGTGGCGGGTGACGAGCTGGCGACCGAGGAGCACGGCAGCGGGTCAGGTGGAGGCGAAAGAGAAGAGGTCCCAGTGCTGCTGGCGGACTGGGTGTACCTGACCTGCTCCACTGTGGGTGTCGCCGCCGCTGAGTGGCTTGGGGAGTAGCCCTGCGTCCGCTCGCTGCCTACAAAGTGTCCGGTACCGGCCCGGCCGACTGTCAGGTCCATCCCGTTGTATCCATAGCCGTACCTGCTGGAATGCATGGCCGTGGAGTCTCTGTATTGCTCGTTTGCCGAACTATGGTCTCCATAATTATGTAACTGGAAGTCCGCGCCATTGGGATAGCGTCCGCAGAATGAGTTCACAAAATAGGAGCTCATTTGTTGACAATTCCACCGTTTGCTGGTTGCAGGTTTTGTTGTTGTTTTTTATTGTTTTTTGGAGGTGAAACAGCATAAACCTGTGTGCTTGATTTGTGGCTCTTATGCTTTAGCGCGTCCTATAGCACCCTTGCACAATTTATGATGAATTATGGAAATGAGTGGGACATGGACTTGATTCTCTCTTACGTAGGCACCCAAATATGGGGTACGGCAGAGTATCACGTGCTTTTGTTGACCAGTCGTAAATCCTGCTTGGTGACCTCGAGAGGTAAACTCGTGCACACAGGAAATACTGGGTGGGATAAGAAGGGCGCGCGCCTCCGAGCGCTCGTGGCTAGGGCAAACTCAGAGGCAGGGCTCTTGTGTTTTGGATTGTCGTGGTGCGCCATCCTCTGGCACAACGGTTGCACTGCGTGTCTGCGGAGGTTTGTCAGGCGTGGGCTCCGCGTGGGGTCATTCGGAGGTTAACGACCATTGCGGCAAAAAAGCAACGATCTCCTAAACAATACGACAAGTGACACGCTGCGAGTGCAATCTCTGCGAGGAGAGTCTACAGAAATAATTCCATCAGGATCTGTTATGTATGTTATGATAGAGACGACGAGTGCAAATAGTCGGTGCAGTTAATGGAATCAAAGCTCGTTCAAAGCAGAGCTGCATGGATTTTTTTCACATGATTTTCCCCTCATACTCATAAACGAGTGAACCAACACTTTTCCTCTGAAAAAAAACTATAATGAGAAAAAAGTTTGTGGAGAGATAAAAGCTAAACGGCACAGAGTCGGGTGATATGACATCGTACCATCGTGGGCCTTTACTGAAGTTTGTGGCACTTGAATTGATATCTTTAAATACAGCCTCGATATGAAGACACAGAATTCTGCTTTACTGTATTTTTTCAGGCTGTTTAGGATTTTTACGCCTCCACACATTAACATCTATGATATTAGACGCTTCCTGCGTGTTTTCTTGCGTTATTACACTCTCTTCTCATGACGATTCAGGATCATACTGACTTCTAAAGAGTCAATATTTGATCAAAATGCAGCTGTTCTAGTTCTGATGAACGTTAACTGTCAAAAACAGACATAGCGTTCTTTGTGTTAGCAAAATTACACACACCATTTTTAAAAAGCAAATAGAATTTCGAATAAAGTTGGGCCTGGAAATGATCGAGATGGAAAGCGAACAGCGAAATTGTAAGACAACCATTTGCAACTTTTAAGGCATAAAACAAACACAATACTCAGAAAATAGTTTGTAATCTGCACTTTGTTGCTTGGCTGTTTGAATATAAAATTAGGCTAAAATTGTCTTTAATTTCTATCCCCATTCTTGCACCAAAAGATAAAGAAGGCACCTTTTTTGTAAAACTGGCTCTACAACATGAATGTCAAATCGGTCGAAAGATAACAACAGAGATGGTGATAACCGGTCATAGGATTTTAGTTTGACCTTATAGGGATCCTCATATTTTTTTTGTAAAGATGCTTCCATCCTAAACTGGTCTGTTTGTTTATGTAAACGCGTAAAACCACCTTTTCCTGCTAATTCAGAGCAGGAATACAAAAACAGGAAAATCCACATCCACCTTGACACAAACAATGTCTAAAAAGAGAAATGACACCCCGTCTCGCGCATTCCGTTTGCTTTTCTCCTTCTGGAATTTTTATGGCACCTTCGTTCCTTAGAGGCAGCGATATGTCCTCTGCTTCCCACATCGAACCCTTTGCCCCTAACGCAGCCCCTCAAACCAGCACATGTTTCACGTGTTTCTGAAAAGCGCAATACTTTAAAGATTTATTCTCTTCAAGGTATGTGCGCTCTGAGCGGTAAAACAACCCCAGAAGGCACGATAAGGACCAAGCTTCCACATCCACTGGGCCCGTAATGAGTGGAGACCCATACCAAGTGTGTGTTGGCTAAACAGTCATGCCCCAACAGCTGATTTATGGCTGACCAATGGCAACAAAGTTCCCACGAAAAGTATTTCCCGGCGTTGAGCCAGGGACACACCCAGGAACTAAATAAGGAGCGAAAGAAAGGATAGAAGAGAGTGTCAAACATGTTGGGTCGGGAGCGAAGGGGCCACTGCTGCAGGAAACGGGAGGGCAGTGCACTCTGCAGGCACAAACACACACCAGCAGAACTCACGACCACAATCTCGTGCGTAATGATATTATTGTACCATTACGCACAGCAGATACTCGACGAAAACCCACAATATCAACATTCTAGATAGCCAAACTCCTTAAGGAATAGAAAATCTTCAACCTGATGACAACAACACACACATTTAAATCACAAAAGGCTATAAAACCGTTTCCACCAAGACACACTGAAGTCCAACGATTTATTTTTTAAAGCGAAGTTGGGGGTTTCAACTCACAGATACTAAACGTGGGATTTTAACTGTATTCCTAATGCACGAAAATATGTTTTATTTGGTGTTTCTTGAATTTTATTTTTCAGTATTCAGTTGTTTTGCCGAATTAATTCGCTATACGAAATAATAACCACGACAGTGTCATAATAGAGAACATTTGGGCTCAATCGATACACATTAAAAGCACCAAAAATAAAATGTTCCTCTTTAAAATCCAGTAAAAATTATTTTTTCAAACCAGAAACAAATAAAAATTATAAAAATATATATTAGGATTACTCTCATAGAGATATGAATTCGCTCCAAAGAAGAATCATCCAAAAGTAAAACCCTTTTTTTCCCCAAACATCCATCTTGCAGTTTATCAGCAGCCTTTATGGATATAAATCGGGGCCTGGTCGCGCATATATATATAACACAAATCCTAGATTCATGCAGGACGCACAGGTACAAAACAGAGGTCGACATGTCTGAGGTCCACGTGCAGCATAACAAGCAGAGCTGCAACAGCAACCACCACAGTGTATCCACAGGAGGGCGTCAAAGAGCCCAAGCACTGACCAACATCCACCCAATGAAGTGTGCATCTGAAAGCCCGTCTCCATTTAAATGCCACAACAAACAAATGTAGTGGTGAAAGCGCGCAGGAGCCGACAGAGAGATCAAAGGAAAGCAGCAGCAGAAACAACAGCTTTAATGTTATCTCATTCAAAGTGGTTCAATCAGCCCTGCAGCAACTGACATTCAAATCCTAATCAAATAAACGCACTCCATGTATACAGTAAGCAAACAAAGCGTGGTATTAGAATAAAAGAACTGGCTATCATTCGCTCAAAGCTTTGCGAGTTGACAAAGAGAGTTCAAACGGTCCCTTACCTTGTGGAGGTCTGTGCCTGCAGACAGGGGGGCTGAGCGGACAGAGTTGGCAGGTGTAGAGAGCCGGTGAGTGGAGGAAGTCTCCAGCTGCGTCCCTGGACGGAAGCTGAGGCTCCCGAGGGGTCACCGAGGCACCGGGACTGTTCCCTCTCATCCTGCTAAAACGTGTCAGGAGAGCGACAGCAGAGCACCCTAAGGATTCAGACATGTCCTTAAGGCAAGCTCTTGAGCTTGTAGCCTCTGACTCACCGAGTAAAAACTCTTCACAAAAGGTAGAGGATGTGCAAAAATGTGGAGGCTCGCTGGTGAAAACAGCCGCGGAGACGCTCGAGACCGTTAAATGAAAGGCTGCTCTATTCCGCTATTGGAAATTATATATAAAAAAGTTCATGTTCACGGCTCCCTGTCACGTGACGAGCTGCAGCCAATAGGAAGGCGAGCCAGGTCGTAAAGTTGCATTGCTATGTTGTAAATTTTCATAAACAACAACGGATTTATGACCCAGCGCTGGAGGGAGAGATGGGGAGAAAGGAGGGAGGGGAGGGGGCAGGTCACCGTCAGGCGCCATCTTGCAGAAGGAAGAGGCAACGCAGAGTTCAACAGTAATTTCCCTTCATCTGCAGCCTGCCCCATCTCGCATCCTCATAGTTCACATTCCCCAGCTGCAGTGTTTACCCAAACCGCAGAGTGGACTCACACGTTTTATTACATGTAACCTAATATTGACCGCAATGGAGGCGAACTAGTATCTCCAAACCAGCGCATAATTACACCAGCCTATACTGTTTATTATCAACACTGTTGCGGCTACAAATCCACAAATATAGAGATCAAATATTAAAAGCCAACAAATAGACAAATAAAACCTATTTAACAAAGATCATATATGTTTATTAACAGATTTAAGACATAGAATACTTTTTCTTTATTTACTTCTTTACAGATGATTCACATTAAAGGTTGGAACTTGAACTAAATATATCAGTGTTTGAACATGTTGGGTTGAAATATTCATATAAAAAAGAAAGAAAAATGCAGTTGTGTTTTAATAAAAGAGCATGCAATGATACCGGATTATACTTTCGAGAAAGGATAAAATAGACAAAGCGTTTTTTTTTCTTTTTCTCGCAGTGCATGTTGGAGTTGAAAAATATTTATGTTAGGTTCGGACTGTTGAGAGTGGAATAAGCAAAGGGAATATGAGGTAGGTTACAAGAGTTCATCTTAAACTAAACAAATACTTCTGCTAATGCCGGGGTGTGTGAACGGTGTACGACTCAAAACAGTGTGTGTGTGTTTTTAAAGATACAGTGTTAAAATAACTAAAATCACAGTCAAGGGTTTTGATCAAATTATATATTAATTTAAAATTAGCCTCGAGTCAAAATAAGGCACATTTACGCAGAATGTTCCATTTAAAAAAATCATTTTAGGAGAAATATTGACCGGATATAGGTAGTATATGTTATTTAAAACATTCAGTCTTGTGTCAGTGTGTGTGTTTTTTATGTGAAGTGGTGAATGATGGGTAGGTAGTTTTTCGTTTAGGAATGTTAATTCAGTAGTAAAATCAGATTTAATTGCTTACAAATGCGGTTTGTTTTATTTCAAGCCGAGCTGTTTCCTGCATTGTTTTGGGTTTAAAATGTGACACGTGAAATTTATGATGGTGTTAAAATGCTTATTACATAATTGCCATCAGCTGTCATTCAGTTTGGCTTGCAAAGCTTGTAGTGCATCAGTGGTGTATGGGAGAACATGTTAGAATTATTAAACTCTTTTTTTTTTTTTCTATTTAGTTGTTCTTAATGCCCAGTCTCTCTCTTTTGTTACATTACAGCCGTCTCTGACTCCGAACCGGCGCTCTGGTTGTCCCCGGGTTCTGTGGACTCTGGTGCAGCCTGACTTTCCCCGTCTTTCTCCCCGTCTGAAGCCGGCACCTGATCCTCCTTGTGGTCTTTCTTCCATTTCATCCTACGGTTCTGAAACCAGATTTTGATCTGCCTCTCTGACAGACATAGAGCATGGGCTATTTCAACCCTCCTTCTGCGTGTCAGGTACCGGCTGAAGTGGAACTCTTTCTCCAGCTCCAGGGTTTGGTACCGGGAGTATGTCTGTCGGCCGCGCTTCTTGTTCGGGTCTGTGGAGAGGAAAAGATGCACCATGTGGTTTATATAACCTGCATGAGATATTTTGAATAATTGAAGAGTATATGATTCTGCATAATGAGAGTGTTGCTTAAACTTGTACTGATAATAAAATCCTATTTTGGAATCCTCTTGGCAAACGCAATTCATTTTTTGCGCAATAATTTTGGCTCATGATTTCACTTGAACCCCTAACCACACCCACAAACACACACTCTCGAGCTGAGGCTTTCATGAATATCATTTTGAGTTCTGTGTCTATTTCAATTTTCGCTGCTGGGATGTTCGGCCTGTGCCTCCTTTGATTCTCTGCATGCCTTTCCAATTAAAAGCCAACAATCTTCTGCGCACCAAAGGAGCCATAAGTAATTAGATTACAGCCCCTTACACCTCGCTCCTTCACAATTATAACAAAACCCAATGTTTCAAATTACTTGCATTCTAAATCCACTTGACTTCTTTATGTAACCGACAATACTAGGCCGTATTGATCCAGCAATGTCTATACGAACCAGGTTCAGAAAATAGCAGAGCCTCTGCAGTGCAGACCCAATTAGAAAGGAGCTGCAGAGTGCGAGAGGGCTGATTTACACAACAGGCTGCTCTTTTTTACAACCACAAAGGGGAGAAGAGGCTATAAGAGTAATAGGAGTGCAGAGAAACCCCCCAGCGGCAAGGTCTCTGCGCACTCAACACACAGGAGCGCTGGCCAAATGAATTTATGGCTGCAGAACTCATTAGTTGCGCAATAAAAGTTTTACGATTCTTTCCATGCAACACCAATGGCTTCACGAAATTAATTGAAGCACTAACAGCCAACGTGAGTATCCCAATGTTTTTGAGAAGGAGACAGAATCAGCACATACCTGCTGCCCTCATCCAGGGGTACATCCGGTAGTGTTTGTCCGGCGGCGAGGTGAGGTGTCCGGGCTCAGGGTGGCAGCAGCTGTCGGCGAACAGGCGGCTCTGGTCGAACAGGCTGCAGTGCAGTGTTTGTGCTGTGTGTGTGTCCTGCCCCTGGCCATAGCCCGGGGTAAACACAGGCCGGCTTTGGTACACTGCATTGTTTACGCTGTAAACTCCAGACAGAGATGGTGTGAACGAGATGGCCGCTGCGGTCCGAGCAGATCCACGGTCCTCTCCAGCGGGTCCAATGCTGCAGGAAGCCCGCTCCACGTTTGGGAAGAGAGAAGCAGCCGCCGTATATTTGCTAAGAAGACCGTCCACATAATAAGAACTCATATTTTTTCTCTCTGATTTGTTGGCCCAGAATCCTCAGTGTCGTTTTTACGAGGTAGTGTGATATATGACAGCAATACACCCTAGATTTACACCAAAGCCCATTTTTACTCTGGACCAAAGAACTCACCCACGTGACTCCGGCCTGGACGTTCCCGTCCAATCAGCAGCCAGATCAGGGTTTCATTATGGCGCAGGACTGCAGTGTGGGATTAACTCTTCACATAAACACATACACACACATAAACACACATGAGAGAAATTCACACGATCCTGCTGATCAAAGCGCCACTGACGTGACTTGAGGAACTATTTTACATAATTTATTTCACTGCGAATTAACAAATAATTCAAATCATCGATTTATCTGCACACATTATTTTTATTTAATGTTGGATTCTGACTCGTTAGTGGTGGTCATAAATAAACTCCGCTAACACAAAACATTTACGGCTGTGGGGCCGTTAAAATGACAAAAAGAGAAACTTTTCAAGCAGAAAGGCGTTTCCTTTTCTTTCCTTGTTTTGGATCAAATTTATTCAGAAAGTCTCGCGTGTTGAAAAATAAAACGGCGTTCAGATTGTACCCACGGTGAATAATTCCTCCTTAAAAATGGCGCAATTGTTTTCAATAAAACTTAAAATATAAACTATTGATTTTTAGTGGAGAAATTTTTTTGTCAGAAATATGAAAATGGCGTTTATATTTGTTAAGCTGATAGTGAAAGTATCAGTAGTACTATAATTGAATTTTATAGAGATTGTTATATTAAATACTTTATAACATTAGTATTTATAAACATGTTTTGATGTAGTGTGTGTGTCACGAATAAATGTACTTAAATATTAAGAGTAACACCAATACAAGCATTAAAATACTAACGATATACAAAATAAAACAATAAACAATTAGAGATAAAAAAAGTTAATATTTACACTGGTACTGCAACTGTATTCCTGCTCCTAATGTCAACACTGATACAACTACTACTATCTCACATAATAATGCTACTATATGTTATGTTACTCTTTGCTTTGTCTATTTTACCCTGATATTAATATTTATCCTTTAGTCTTCTTTCTGTTTTTAAAATAGGTATTATTATATGTGTGTTATTTTACTTTTTTTTATCTTTACTTTTTCTTTGAATGAACCATAAACCAAACAAGAGACAGAGTTGAAAGCTAGCAGTATCTAATCTCTGTATGCAAACCACCGCTTACTACAGCTTGTTTTGTGTAAATCGCGCTGTGTAATCAGCATTATCCCAGTCAAATAAACCATATAACAACGTAAATCAATAATCCGAATGTGTGTCACAGTAACGACCACGCATTTGAATAAAAACGCGTATAATGCTTAAAATACGGAGAGTAGCCGAATTATCTGCGCCAATATTTAACCTGATATTTACAGTAGTTTACACTCACACTAATATTAACTAAAAGAATAAAACTGCAGTCATTACAACAGCATAAAAATTGACATTACCAAATGTTTGGCGTCTGCTATAATTTTTACGAATGATAATAATGATGTTACCTATAATAAAATTGACGATAAAAATTACGATAATAACAATGATATTTGTAATAAAAGCTATAATAACAATCTGTTTTATCGTCCTATAATGCACTCCTTTGTAAACAGTCTTTAAATAAGAGCTTATGTCTATTTGATACCTGCAACAATCGTCAACATTCTAAAGGAAAGTTCAAGAGACACTATAATAAAAAATTATGATCCACGTAATTCATACTGCATACTTACATGACCAATAACTACACTTAAATATGTTTTCTTACTTGCAATGATAATATTTGACATATGATGAACATAAAAATCCTGACAATAACAAAAACAAGAACGGTAAAAATGACGGTAATTACAGCTTGTCTGACATGGTGTGTGTGTGTGTGTGTGTGTGTGTGTGTGTGTGTGTGTGTGTGTGTGTGTGTGTGTGTGTGTGTGTGTGTGTGTGTGTGTATACTCTCTGTATGGCGCATCAGAAAACGGGTTGTGTTGTGTGATAAACTAATAGAGAGAAAATATATTTTAACATAGATGTTTATTTTACGGTATTTTGCGGTATTTTACGGTATTTTACGGTATTTTACTGTACGTTATTTAAATAGGCAGTGTAAAGTCAGCATACCTTTAAAACTAACTCCACAGAGTCTTGTGCCATATGGAAACACACGGACTGGACAACATCCAGCAGTCACCGCGTGCTGCCTGTTTCATTGTTTCCGCAGGCTGCAGGAACAGCTTCTGCTCTGAGACTGTAAAAAGGTGTGAAATTATTTCGCGGGACTCTTAAAAATGTTACCACAGTTTGTTTCCAGAGCAGGTTCATTAAGGAGAATGGTTCAAAGAAGAAGGCTGATGTTGTGGAACAGTGTTGCCACCCTCTGGTGATATCCAAGGATTGCAGGCGAAGGGAGTAAGAGAGCGCATGCGCATCGGCTCTGTGTTGCTATTCAAGATAGAAATACAAGAAGAAAAAAAGGATACTCGTCCTCCGATTGTGAGATTCTGTTTACAGATTCGAGATAGTAGGAAGAGCGAGTAGGTTTTTCACAGATTTCTCGGATATGATCAGAATAAAACACCATCCAGAGGCCTACCACTGTGTGTTTTCAAACCAGCCGCTGGCTTTATTGCTCCAGCTCCTTTGGCCGAGCCCGGCAGAGGAGCAGAGGGCGGAAGGTTCCCAGGTAGAGACAAAAGATCTCCCCAAATGACCGTGAGTCCTGCGCGTCCCCGTCGGCGAGAATCCAATAAAGCTGATCATTTCCGCTCGGCCTTTTGTCCGAGGCGCAGTCTCACAGAAAAGGAAGAAAAAACAAATGGGTGCCATTCTGGAAACAGCCTAATTGTGTCTGGACGGCCATAAAGCCATTAAAACTGGAATGCCAGACAGTATAGCAGACCAGGCGTTTTATTGCACTGTCTCTGGTCGAGTCTTTGAAGTTTGGGTCCATCTGCGGCCCCTAACGCGTCACAACAGCTCCTCAGTCCAACTAGTTACTTCCTAACTACAATAATCTTTAAGTTTCTGTGCAGCCCTTTAATGACTACACGAGTTTGTGTGTGACAGAGCAATGTCGAGCCATGATCGACTCTCACACTTTTGGCGCTGCAGCTGAAAAACTTCACATTGGGATTTCGACTTTCTCCTTTTTCTCTGTCCTTGTGCCAAATATTTTCTTCAACATGCAGAGGCTTGAAACACACTTACAAACTAAAAGGTTACAAGTCACATTTATACATTATTTTAGGGTCAGATGTATTTTGGATCCTAAATTCGTCAGCATTTCGTGAACAACAACAATGCTAAACCACAGAATCACTTTAAAATTAAAGTCACGGTCTAAGCGTTAATGGCAAAGCCTCTGGCTGAGCGGCCTTGTCATATCTGATCCCTGCACAAAAACATCGGTGGCATTATTTTGGGCTTCAGCTGTCGAAGCCCTCGATGTCTTTTTTTGCTTTGTGTCCTCTCGCCTCGCAGCGCTTTGCACCCCATAAAAGGTTATAGCGGTAATTGTCTTTTATGGCTGTATACAGCTAACAACATCCTCTGCCAAGACACAGCTCTGTCCCCAATCCAAAAACACACACACTGAGATATCCACCTAAAGGTGTGTTTCACTGATAGACGCGTGGGAGATGTATTGTGCGCGCTTTGTAAGGTGAAAAAAACTGAAATATGAAAGAAAAAGCGTAAAATATTTGAATTTGCTCTTTGCGCAAATATCTAAACATTTTTTTATTTACAGTGTGTGTGTGTGTGTGTGTGTGAGGGAGTGAGGGGGGGGAAGAGAGAGTGTGTGTGTATGTGTGTGTGAGTGTGTGCGCCTTGAACAGCCATAACCTTCAAATTTCCTGTTCCTATTAAAAAAGTATTGCTGCAAGCAAAAAAAAATTAGTCGTTAGTAAAAATATAATTGATGTTAATGTGAGTCCAAAATAAAATGATGATGCACTGCGCCTGAATTCGCAGATATAATTTGTTTTATTTAATAAATAAAGTACAAATTACATTTGTGAACCAAAAGTCAGCCGGTCAGCAGACCGTGAGGTAATCAATAAGTAGCCTACAGTGTTTGGAGTTAATTTTCCTCTCTAACAAACATTATGTACTTTTTACATGTTAGCTACTCCCTGAAATTCATAGTTCAGCATCTACTGCAAGCAAATCTACGAGAATCCGCCATGGAAAATAATAATCATAATAATAACAACAGGGTATTGTAGGTAGTTGGAGGGCATAGGTAGTCGTGTAAAGGTTCTAGAACATTTTTCATTTGGGGCGTTTTTTAAAGAGGCTTTCTGAGGGTTTAGCACCTACTTTAAAATCCGCTCTGACTATTTTATTCCAATGTTGTTTCCAATGTTAGATTCAAACTCATGGTCACCAGTCTTAGTTCTACAGGGAGAAACAACAATAAAATTAATACAATTTACGAAACTACGCTCAAATGACTGTGGAATAGACAACGAATAGAGCTACAAACCAGAACGAACACAGCTAAGAAACATCCATTCACAAACAAGCACAGGGACCAGGCCAACTAATACAATTTAACGAGGTATTATTTTTTTTAAAAATCAACAAATGGAAAAATTTTAAGAAGAAAAAAAACGAGTGGGCACTGTTAATTGTGCAATATAAAGGTAGTCGCATCAAACTGAAGCCCAACATGCTTTTTTTTTACAAGACAAATAAGCCTAATAGCTTCTGTTATATAGACAGTAAGACAATGAAGTTGAAAAACAAGGTCCAGCAGGGTTAAGAGCTTCCACACACAAAGCTCGCAGCCTAACAGCCTAAATACTGAAACACTACTGCTCAGTCAATCGTCTTTCGGTGCACCGTCTTTATTAAACTTCTTCATCTTCATCCTGCGGTTCTGGAACCAGATTTTAACCTGTCTCTCGGTGAGGTTTAACAGCCTCGCCACCTCGTACCTACGGTCCCTGGTCAGGTAGGTGTTAAAGAGGAACTCTTTCTCCAGCTCGAGGATCTGGTGCTTGGTGTACGGACAGCGTTTTTTTCTCGTGGCACTCGCGTGGAGCCAGTTGGACACTGGGTTATCTGGAAAGAGTGGAGGGGAATGGGGAGGGGGCGACACTGGAGTGAGGGGTCCGGTTCCGAGTGACAATTGCAAAACAACAAATATGATTCATCAAAAAAAAAAAAAAAAAAAAAAAGAAGAGAGGCCTTAAAGGAAAGAAAAATCAAACACGTGCGTAAAAGCTGCCTCATCCAAACACAACTTGCTCCTCTTCCTCTGTCACTCTTTAAAAGCAGCAAAAGGTTATCTAATGTAGCAATGGGAGCCGGGCCATTAACAGTCCCCATAAGGAAATGGCACGTCCAGAATGGCATCTCTGCAGACGCGCACCCCCATCACGCACCCAATCCTCACAGCTTTATGCGGTATAAATAGTCGGCTATAAACATAAAAAGGCTCTACAGAGACTTACTTGGATCGAGGCCCGGTTTTTCCTCAGTCTCCCCGCTCATGTCCCCTGCCTGGCCGGACAGTGCGTCCTTCTCTCCCGGTGATGCCGTGGCCACTGTGCCGTTTGCGTAATCAGAGAGTAGCAGCGCTGTGTGGGAGCCAGGCAGCGCGCCGTCAGCTCGCGCACCGAGACCCTCCGGTTTGATCCCGTAGTGGTGGGCTGTGGGTAATCCAGCCATGGGAAGAGAACCGGACATGGGTTCCAGCAGCCACGATTGATAGCGGCCGTCTGTGTCTGCACCCACCGTACCTTGGGGATGCCCATAATGGTGGTGATACACGGAGGAGACGCTTCCGGAGAACTGAGCAGGAACGTGGCTCCATGACGGTCCGAACACCGGGGCTTTGGACGGGAAGGTGCAGGTCCCGAGCTCGCTGTGGTCGCCGATTGAAGAGGCTGACTGTCGGGCGTGCTGGAGCCCAGGACCGGAGGGGTATCTCGGCACGGAGAGCTCCTCGCTCTCGGGCAAAATGAGGGAATCGACGTAGTAACTAGTCAGTGTTCCGGATGTCGACATGGCAGAAAAATGATACGCTCACATGTACGCACTCATACAGCAAGATACATACAAAAGTAAAACGCGCACACACACCACACACACACATACACACGCAGTAAACCCAGCCTCACAAAATAACAATGTGGAGAAATCAAGTAGCAACTTGGCCCCACAGAGAACTACAGTGGGCTAGTAATGGGGAGCCAGGCTGCTATGCCATTGGGTAGCAGACGCACGTGATCATAAAGGCTGAACAATAAAGGATAAATCAATCCCTTTGGTCATTAAATACTCACCCGCTCTCCTATAACAACCTCTAGTTTTAAAGCTAAGACTGATCAAGTTATGAATTAGATCTGTTATCCGGGAGACTGAAAATATGAATGAATGAGTTTATATAAAAACATATTTTACAGGATCTTCTACGTCTGTACTGCTGCTTTTTAAAAACCAATCCTGCTTCTCCAAAACTATACACTGTGTTTTTGGAAAAGCTGATTTTACGAGGTATTTTATTGGACACGTAAGCACCCTACCACTACTGCTCACCAAAACACATTTGAACCACAAGCGTAATAAGAAGAGGGAGCAGCTCAGAGCTGAAACAGACCGTGGATCTCTAATTTCATTCCAATGACATTATTTTTATAATCCTTTTTTCTCAGCTGGTTCAGGCATTTCTTCGTGACTGTGATATTTTACTCTTGTTGGAGCCTTGAACTGTGAGTGTGTTTAACAGGCAAAAGTAACAAACTAGGAATAACTACTTTAGCCTCACATAAACTACAATCTGCATTTTTTAGAGTGTTTAACCAGTGCGTAAACAAGATTATTGCTAGTACGCACATACCGATTGGAAAAGCATTAAACATACAAGCATATGACCTTCATCCTGCTTTTATTTACAAGCCAGTTTCGTGATTGAAACAAAGTTCTCCAAGAGTATGCATTTGTTCAATCAGAATCTAGAACACATCTCAATATACATCACATTACGCACATATTAAACAGCATTACGCACGTTTCCTAAGATTCAAAAACAGAGTAAATTATATTTTATCCTTTTCGAATTTAAAAAAATAATCAATCATTTTATGATTTTCAAATGAGGTTTTAAAAAGCAGAAGAATGTTATTTTCAAAACTGTCTCCCAGCTGCAGATTCACACTTTTACTTTTGTTGTAAATATGGTGTAACACAGAACTCTTCATTGGAAATAAAAAACATTTTCTGTGAATTGGTTTAATAATTATAATGTGTTTTAAATATGAGGAGTGTGTGTTAATTTTATTTTAAAAAGTACAAAAAAATTAAAATTAAAAAAAGTAAAATGGATTAAATTTAACAGATTAACACAGAATAAATGCAGAATTCTTCCCAACATGAACACGCTTAATTAAAGCCCAATTAGCACAAACGTATTAGATATTTTTAAATGCAACATATCATAGACTTATGTCCGGTTCTCGTCGCCCAACCTGTCGATTAACCCGTTTATTATTTACACCGCCGTTATCACTTGTATGGGTCTGTACGTTGCCATCATCACCACCATCAACAAATTCACTGTAATGCCAGCAAGCGGCCACAGCCTCGGTGTAATGTTACACTTAAATAGAACTAAAAATACGCGCAATGTGGTGTTTGTGGTTTCCTCCTTTTAAAATTAAATGGTGCGAGGAGTGCTTGACGCAGAGACTCGGGGGTGCATCTAAAATAGCTGTGTGTAGTAGATATAGAGGGGATTAAGTTTAATAAATAAAGGAGGTAAAGAGAGTAGAGGAGACAGAAAGTTCCCTGTTAGAGGTATTTCTGTAAAACCTTTAAAAATTGATTGACGTTGCCTGAAATCTGCGTAACAGCCCGCATAAAAAAACACTTTTACGCAAACGTAGTAAAGGACTAATTTCACAGTAAACTGCAAATTAAACAAACATTAGAAACAAATATTACAATTTGAAACTCAATATATTTTGTTAAATCTGCTTTTGTGAGCGTATCAACATCCACATTATCCAAGATATTTATCTCTACTCTTAAGCTCACGTCTCCAAAGCAGCAATCTTGAGTTCTCACACATTACACTGCGTGTTTTATTTATTGCCAGCAAATAAACGCATAGCTTGGCCAACACCCCACAAGGCCACAGGCAATCCAACACGCAGGAATTCTCTCCCCTCTCTGTTATTGCATTTAGGAGAGAAGCTCAAGCAAAAAAAAAAAAAAGGGACACAAGCTGTCGATAATGCGCACTGCAATTGCAAGCTATCACCTCACTGGTACTTGCACATTATTTGGCCAACAGACTTCAAACACGCCGAGGGGGGAAAGGAGCGGCTGTGCGCTTATTTGTGCACTAAAAGTTCGAATAGGCAAACACCTTCAGAGCAGGAAAAGACGCCGCTCTGCCAATGGCTCTCAGGCTGTAAACCTAAATCAGGGTGTGTTTTTCACCCAGTTTACCGCAGGGGCTATTCACTTCTTTTGCCTCTGCAGATAACAGCCTGTCTGGCGGATCTAAATATCGCCATAAAGCCCTTCCCCTCCTTTTGTCTGAGCCACTATTGCGCACAGGAAGCATCCGGTCTCATTGCCCACGGAGGTCGCTGTTGCCCCATTCACCTTCCCCTTCCCCTCCACTGCAGTGGTCGTAACCGAGGCCTTGTCTGGCGTGTCTGCGTCACTACTACTCACGGAAAACACTCGCGGCTTTGCTCTTAATCCCCCCAAGTCCACGACGCATACTGCAGCTCAGCTTTGATCATGTTTAAATTCAGCACACAGGCGCGCGCGGGCTCATTTTAACGACGAAAAACAAGCGCAGCAGTCTGAGGGAAACATTGCAGGAGATAGGTTAAGAATGTACACACAACAGCCACCCACCCCTCCCCGGATTGGAAACCAGAGGGGGATTAGAGCAAGCTTCCAAAACATGTCCCCACTATTTTCATCAAATCCCGTCATCTTTACATCTCTGATTTGTTCCCGATGTGTGTAACTGGGGCAATTAAGACAGTTTCATGTTGCAGAGTTAGAAATTGACCCCAACAACATGAAACTACCTAAACCACTCGACAGTCGATCTGGGCCTCAAGTGAAACACAATCAGCCAATAGACAATGCACCGTGCTCTCAGGTCCCGTCATCAAGTGTCCACATTAATCGTCTGTATAGAAAAAGTACAGCTGGATAGTACACACTACTACAGTGAAGCGCAAGCAGCAAGACGCAAAAAGGGCAAATTCACAATGACATATGGACTTACCCAAATCCCGGACATGTTAATCCCAGTATTCCCAAAACTAGCACACAAGGAAATGTTTGATCCACACAGAGTCTCTGTACAGTTGAGATTAGCAGCACAGAGCCGGGCCTCCTCTGCTCTCCGTCTCAAAGGCTCTCCCACGACTGAAGCAGCTCTTAGAGGAGAGGGAGAAACCTCATATACCAGCCAGTCATAAAACTCTACAATAGCCGGCTGGGCATGCAGCTAGACGGCTTATAGCCTAATATCTTAATTATTTCCGATAGCCATTAGTTTAGCCTCTTAAAACATTTCTGAAAGCATGCGTCACATGAACACTAGCGCGCCCATATTTTTTGATATGACAATAATACATTTCTGCGCTTCTTGGGGATAAAAAAAGAGCGTCTGAAAAAACAAATGTATACAACCACAGAACAAAATACAAGCAGCTACTCCTCAATGCGAGCTGATAATTTATTAAGCATTACACAAAAACACAGTGTCATATGTACACAGAAATATACAATAAAAATATTCCTCCTTCTCTTGGCGCATCATTTTCGTGTGAACGTCCTCGACGTCAATAGAGGTTTCAGATCTTTCTTTAGCTCGTACACATTTTAGATCAAATTCATGGGAAACTACAGCTAATGTTCATATGTGAATTACTCTCGCCTTGGTGATACATGGGCGTTATATTCCATAGGGGTTAAAATATATTCTTTTAAATGTAGGAAACGTTAAATCATGCAATTCCAATTTCATAAACAGGTTGATATTTTCAGATTAAATTTAATTCAAAAAGATAGTTTGTAATAATGGGGGGGAATGTGGAAGAATTATGCCTCCTCTCTGTTGTTGCAGTTTTTTTTTAAGTTCATTTAACTCCACTGACAATACCCAACACACAGGAACAAGTCTACAATACAAAAACACGTCATAAAAATCAATTGTTACCCACAACTTTCAGTATTTCCTTTTTCCTTTCCTCGGTAGCCCACAGAGGACGATGCACTGACTGTGTCTGCTAATAAAATGAGTTGTACCCCACAGTGAAATGAGTCATTAATGCGGACATAGTGGAGAGGGAGGTATAGGGTGCCATTGATTTCACCCAATTTCTTCTATTTCAATGTGATCACCTCGTTCATCACGAAAATCCGTAGTTGGAGGTGAGCTCCCGGATCCTGTTCTCCCGTGTCATTTTCTTCAGTTTCATCCTGCGATTCTGGAACCAGATCTTAACCTGTCTGTCAGTCAGGTGGACGCTTTTACTGATCTCTAGGCGGCGCTCTCGGGTCAGGTACATGTTGAAGAGGAACTCCTTCTCTAGCTCCAGTGTCTGGTGTTTGGTGTATGGACAGCGTTTCTTCCGGCCACTTTTCGCTGTCAACCAAGTGGCTGTGTTTTCACTTTTTGTGTCCCCTGGAGAAGATGGAAGATAAGATGGTTTTACGCACTGCAATCTGCAATATCATATTAGGGATAGTGTGTGTGTGTGTGTGTGTGTGTGTGTGTGTGTGTGTGTGTGTGTGTGTGTGTGTGTGTGTGTGTGTGTGTGTGTGTGTGTGTGTGTGTTATGCGAAAAGTGTGTTGTGGTTCAAGTGTGTCATGCGGTCAGTTTTATGCGTAAAATATTATTCATAGATAGAATCAATGAAATATTTGCAAAATCGCAATAATCCTAGTGGTCTGTTTTTTACAGCAGTCTGATACACAAAAATATGAGTGTTTTGTAAAATGTAGAATAAATTTAAATATCATGGCACAGAAAAATATGATCATAGGAACACTTCACATGTAGGCCTAATATGTGTTCCTTTTACGCGCCGCTCAATACAAAAACTAGCTAAGGCATGTGGTTGGTACATAATGTCTCCTCAGGTATTTATTTAAAAATAATATTTTACCATCTGTTTAGAAGTTGTACTGTTGCCGTACCAAATGTAGCTATATTCTATATTTTGGGCGTATTTTTCAGTTTTACGCATTGTCTTGACGCCCGTAATGGTGCACATAAATGTAATTTAAATTCAGCCAAAAGCTGATGATACAAAAGTGTAAGACGAAGCATTACAGTAGAGTTTCTCTACCTGTGCCTAGACTTGTCTCTGCAGTACAAACATTTTAAAGGTACTGAACAGGTGCCATTCAAAAAAGTGTCTACCTGTGCTGCATGCAAACAAAACAGCAGTGCACGACCACACCTAGGATGAAGAGTGGTTACCTTTAGAAGCTTTTGTTGGTCTGTCTTTGTCATGGTCTTCCGTCTCGTCACCCGAGGAGGCTTCTGCATCCGAGGACTCGCGTGCCTCCTCAGTCCCCGGTCCAGGGTGAGGTTGCAGGTCTGCGTTTCCCGAGGACGCGGGCTCCTCGGTATTCCTCCCTTCCTGCGCCGTGGCTGGAGCAGAAGTCGGAGTCGGTGGCGTGTGGAAGCGAGCTGGAGCAGCGGGGTGTAGGCCAAAATGAGAATGGGAAGGGTTCGGCTGGGGGCCGTTGGTGTTGTAAAGTTTATGAGAATGTGCGTGCGTCTGAGACAAGCGGAAGTAGCCCGGCACAGGCACTGAGCCCCCGCCACCACCACCTCCACCGCCGCCGCCATCGGTAACTGTACAAGAAGTCGAACCGAGGCCGGTTGTCGTTAACCTCGAATATGTGAGATCCTCGGCGGTGGACGCTTTAGGGCATTTGGGCTGCTCATACAGGCAGTATGTGCTTTCTTCCTTAATGTTCTGCGGGAACGAGCAGGGCGCGACCTGAGGACCCGCCGGGTGCTCTTGGTCCATACGACATGACCTCTGCGCGTCCATCCACATCTCCATACTAGACATGTACGCGCCCGAGCCGGTAATCATGTTCTGGGGACCCACCTCGCCCCGCTTACCCACACCTGCGAAGTATCCATAGTTGTGTAGTCCGTAAGGCACTTCAGCAGCTGCAGCGCTATGGGGCACGCACACCGCGCTCCCTGTGTAGTGACCTCCGGCGCTCTCGCTGCGGCCACTGATCAGAGAATCCACTAAAAACGCATTTCCTGACGGAGTGTCCGAACATGACATTATTGTGGTGTATTTTGGCGAAGGGAGAAGATAGCCCTTTCTGGCTGACATTTCTTGTGCAAAACATGCTGGATATGATTAGAGGCACCCCCCCTTCTCCACCGTGAGGGCTGTAAAACCAATGGAAAGACTGGAAGATGGGCAGTCCCTCCCACTTTGCGGCTACGTAGAAGCCGGAGCGAAATCCATCATGGAGCTGAGGCAGAGAAAGGAGACAGCACAGCAATCAGCGTGTTGCCTCACCTCGCCTTAATGCACCACTATTACACCGGAGAAGGGGCGAGGTCCAACTCGGAACAAAGTTTGAAAACAAACTTATGGACGAAGTAAGGAACTGGGTGAACTTTCCATGCGCATATAGGCTTTGAAATCAGTTTCCTACTGTACAAACCGCAACATGATTTCCAAACACAGCCCATGCCCTTTCCCCCATGCAAACCAAATGTTACCACAAAGCTCAGCAATTGCAAAAGTGTGAAGATCTTCAAATTGAAATCTGCTCAAAATTCTACACTCCCAGCTGAAATAAGATAAGGAGAAAATGACGCTTCAAAAATCAAATCCCATATTCTTTATCACCACACGAGGAACGCTAGTGTATACATTAAGCTTTAGCCTGGAGCTGGAAAATCAAGTTTGAAAGTTTATACCCGCAGAATCTAACAGACAAAGACACACAACAACAAAGCAGTTGGACTTAGTGGTAATAAAATGTTGTTTTAACTAGAGGGAGAATCCGCCTATGGCGAAATGACTTGGAAATGAAACCGTTTTATATGGTGCAACCTATATAGCCTCAAGACAGTCTCAACTCTTCCGCACTAGAATCAAAGGTGTAAATGTTTCCTGGAAGTAAGAGAGGAGAATATCTGACACGTTATACTTTGTTGATTTTCTGCTTTTTAGATTCGTTTCTTTATTTTTGGGCAGGTGGGGAAATTTCAGGTCTTTATTGTCGAATTTGTTTGTTTTCAGTGGCCAGGGCGACTCTCGAAATACATGAATTTTTTTAAAGAAGCAGTTTCTTAAAATGCAACTTCTTTTTTTTACTAACATTAAATTTTATATGTAGATAGATTTTTTTGTATTATACGTGATATAAACAGAGCTGTGGCTGTGCGTAAAAAGCCCATAGCACCCTGTGAACAACAACAGAAACAGTTTGAGCCACAGCAACAGAAGCCTTTACTCAGCAAATAACCTTCATTGATCAAGTATTAGTGTATGGTGTAAATATAAATATATACATATGTAACTAAGGGGTGAAAGCGTTTCACTGTGTTACATTCTAATCCTGGATCACGCACTGTTGTTGTTTTATTTTTATCAGTGATGTATAAAAATAAGTGAGAGTAATTTTATATTTCAGCTCACAGCACAACACGTTTTCCTTGTTTCCCTTTGGAGACATAGTATTGTTGTAATTATGCAGCATTTCTGGATCATTTGTATTAATTTAAGACGTGCAATTATTTTATTAATGCTCGAGGAGCCTTTACGCACGGCATAAAAACGCTTAAACCTGCAATTAGTCGTATAAATGCACCAAGTACATACACTCATTTATATTTCTTCACCATAAGAATCAAATAATCCGAACTGTGTCCAGTATAATATTTCTTATTTGTTAAACTGCCAGAATATTGATCCCTGCGCTGTGAGAAAACAGCCACTATTTGCCTGAGCAGACAGGATTGTTGCACATACAAGTCATCCTGTCGGTCCAATTTGGGGCAATAAGAGCCACAATAAAACTCTCCTTCCACCCTGTAGTGTCCTTGGCCATGTGCACTCTCTATTGCTCTCTCCAGGTTGAAGTTAATCTCGGCCAGCTTTGCCATTACCAGGCCCAGGTGGCCGCTGCGAGTCCCGCTGGGTTTGTTGTTTTTTCAGCCCGTTGAACTGAAATGAGGAAAAATTGGGAGAAATTCATAAATTGAGCCCGTTTAAGCTCCTTAAACGCTCGTGTCACTGACAGCTCATTTGTGGCGCACTGGCTTGGATTTTTAGCGTGTCCGTGGTGGACATTTGTCACTCGCTCGTGGTCAAAACCTTCATAATTCAGATGACTTAAATGTCTGGAAGTTAGTGGGACTTTATGTATGCGGGTGTAGATATAATTCAATAATCAAAGTGGGGAGTAAATCATAAATTAAAAAAGTATAAGAAGAAAAGAGGGTTTTCCACAGTGGGGTTTTAGGGAGAGGGCCGCGCGCCGAGCAATTGCGCTTGTTTAGAAAAATTACCCGAAAGTATGAGATCAATTCCCACAGTGTTAATAGAGAAAAACTCACAGCATTACATCTGAAGCCTGTGTGTCCTTCCCCAGAGCGGCCTCTCTCTTATGGGACACATGAGCCAGCAAGGAAACTAAATACATCTATTAATTATGTGTGTCCAGGATTAAATTGTACTGCCCCGCACACTTCATGGTGTTGTACAGGCATGGGAGCCTATCGATATCTGAGTGTTACACTTATTAATTGTAGCTATTAAATCTTCATTTTCACAGCTGCCCTACTATTATATCCTCCAAACAGTTTACTCTGACCAGTGGCTTTGATCCGGCCCATATAATCGTGGCCGAAGAGGCCGTTTGAGTCGTATCATGTTCGTCCCGAGTGCAGTTATGAACAATAATGCGGCGTTTTATTACATCCAGCGGAAGCATTTATTTTTCACGAGAGACAAAGGAGAAAGAGAGTCAGTCCGCGCGCATTGAAGGTCCAGAATAGGCACCCTGACACTGATATCCTCACTGAGCGGATCTGTGTGCAGAACAGGAAGTAAGGGGACACGCGTTTGCTGCCTTATCACAGACCAATCGAGTCCCCTTAATAAGAGCCTTTGTACACTTGGCACGTCCATAGAGTAATGTGTTTTGGAAGGACGTCAAATGTCTTGAGTGGATTCTTTGGTGAGGAAGAGTGAGCATACAAAGAAGTGGCTGTGATTTAAGATGAGGGAGAGAATCATCCGAGAAATTAAATCACGTGTTTAGTATCCAGCACCCACTGCCTACTGTTCTACCGCTTGAGCTCTAACAGTATACAATTTAAGAATAATAAAAGCAGATTTTTCCGCAAACCCAAAACATTTGTGCTAAAAGACTGGGTCGTTTTGCTGTTCTCTCCAGGTACACTCAACCCGCGCTATACTTCAACCATTAAAAAGCTCCAGCTCAGCAAAATGAATAGCACATGCAGCATGAAGACTTGGCACAGATGTGTTGCCTTATTAGGGCCCCCAGGAAGACTTTCTCTGCAGCACGGCCCACTGAGCACAGAGAGAAAAATGGGAACTTCACTCTAAATCTCGAACTAACAAGCTTTGCATGCAAAAAGAAAGAATCTAGAGACTCCGAGGGTTTGTTCTTGGAAGGAAGTATCAAAGCTCCAGGCTGTGTTGACAACTTTTTTTTTTTTTTTTTTACCTGCGTGCATTCGAGGTGAGCTTGAAGTCGAAAAGATCCACGGCCGTGACATTGGTCCCAATAGCGCCGCCCGGTGGTAAAGGGGGGGTCTATTCCCGAGTGCAGCAGCTCGCCTCTAATGTGACTCGAGGTGGATAACCCACACGAGGGGAAAAGCCTCTCAAATGAAGCTGCAGCAGCGAGCAAGCAGAAGCGTTTCCTATCCGTCCTCTCCCTGTCGTTGCTCTCGCCTCCTTGGTAACACAGTTAATAACCTTGGGTCTCAGACGGTTTATTGCACTGCACTCCAATTGTACAAATGCCCCAGACTCTCAGACAGCTTTTATGGCTGCGTTGCTGCGGCAACGGGGAGGATGTCCCGTAATTAGGGACGGAATTCCAGCGCGCAGTAAAGGATGCGCAAGGCAAGGCCGGACTATGGCAGAGAGAGACAACCATAAACTTCAGCCTCTCTCCCTGCGTTTATGGCCCTTTTGACTGTCATATATGAACGCCAATGCGCTGCGGCTAGCCCCCATAAACACAGTGATAACAACAGCAAATATGGCGACCCTCGCCAAAGGAGAGTGCAGTTGGAACAGTGTTACCAAAGCCAATCAGCGAAATGACAGCAGCGTAATTGTTCACACACACAGGCCAAAGAGAGAGAGAGAGAGAGAGAGTACACAAAGAGAGTGAGAGAAACTTTAAAAAATACAGCCTGTAAATGATTTGAAGCTGAATGTTCCACAAGAGTAATTGTTATAAAGAAAGACAAAAGTGGGTCTACAAGCTAGTTGGAGTTGTCAGAAAGTAAATATCAAAAAAAGAAGAAAAAAAAAGATTTTACTGAGGAGGAATTCATGTCATGGGTGCGTTTGGAAATGTTGCAAGAGAGGTCAAATTTATCGCTAATCATGTCAAATTAAAATACCAGAAAGAATTCACAGTTCTTTTGCGTTTCTACCTCAGCTGTATAAATCAGAGTACAACAGGAATTTAGATAAAGCATTCATGAAAATCAACTTCATTTATAATTCATTTAAACTCAATCCTCATGTGCAATAAAAGTTTCTTTCTATCTGATGTTCACAAAAGTAACCATAAAACTGTGCTGCTGGTGTGTGTGTGTGCTGATTTGTGCACGTCTCTGCTATATCAAACGGTTACAAATGGCTCAAGGACACGCAAATCTGCTTTATTTTAGATTTTTATTTTTTATTTCTTATGCCAAGACAAATACTTGTCGTAATTGTTCAAACGCTCCAAGTAAATAAGTGGAATTTCCGTGCGTAAAATGTTTCCCGTGTGCGTATTTGTGCGTAAATGTCTCTCATCTACATTGTTTAAAAGGCAAAATTTCTGGAAAACGGAACAATAAACACGCATGAATTAATAGATTTTTTTCAATAATATTTTCATTTGTTTTTTATTTGGAAATATAGTATAATACACAATAGTTTGGGCATACCAAGCACTTGATCCAATGCAATGACCCTGACCAGCACACTTGAAAATGTGATCTTCCTCCCACGGCAAGTACCGAAGGATCACGAGTCATGAGAAAAATATTCTGTTTATGCGTATCATTGTGAGACCAAAGAGGCCCGCTTCGTGTCTACCTGTGTGAATCTGTTGGGCGTGTACCTCAGTGCAACTCCACACGGCTCCAGTAGACGAGCTTATCTCTCTGGTGTGGCCTGCATTATCTACCAATACTGGACTGATAGTCACCAAAGAATCAAAAATAAAGACAGCAATGGATTTGGGTTTACAAAGATATGCAGAATATAAATAGGCATAGCCCTCATTCTGTAGGCTGCGGGAGAGACAACAAAGCTCGCTTTGAGGTCAGCCCAGGCTGAATACGGAATCCCAACAAGCCTGTCTGTATTAATGGACTTTGACTTGGTAAGCCGTGGCTTTAAAAGAGATAGTAAACGAGTGGCTACAAAATAAATAAGCACACAAACAGAAACACGATACATTCTCATTCGTTCGGACTCATTATTTGGTCCCACCAATATAGAATAATCAAAGTCGCCATCATCCTAAATGCATCACTTTTTCTGATTTCAAAACAGAAAATTATACGTGAAATAAATCTTTTGATTACAAAATACACTGGCTCAGTCAACTAAGTGACTGCTAATTTCTGCCTGCGTGAAAGGAAGAGGAAAAAAGGCGTCTGTGACATTAATATTAACATGGGCCTTCCCAGTCTGTGCGAAAACAAATCCGTGTCTGCGTTTCCACCCAAACAGAGTGTGAAGAGCAAAATCTGAGTCCACAGACTGTCTTAATTCATGCTTACTCGTGAGGTTTTTCAGATCGCAGGATGCTGTTGTCCTCGAACTTGAAATTAACCACCGAGCAGCGTTGCTGTTGTTGTTGGTGTTGGTGCTGTCGCGGCCATTGTGGTACACAATGTACAGCCGGAGAGTCACAGCCGGAGAGTCAGTGTGTCTGTAAACGCAACAGAGCCCCACAGCAGGGCGCGGTGCAGCCCTGACCCCTAAAGCAGAGGGTTAGATGTGTAATATTGTAATCTATCTCTGTTCAGTTTTTTCTCCTTCATGCGGCGGTTTTGAAACCAGATCTTCACTTGTCGATCGGTGAGGTTGAGCATCCGAGACAGTTGCATGCGTTTCTCCTTGTTTATGTAGACACTGAAGAAGAATTCTCGTTCAAGTTCTCGAATCTGATATTTGGAATAAGGGCACCTTTTCTTGCGTGTTCTTTGTCCACCTGGAAAGCACAGAAATGTTTATAAAACAGCGGTCATGGTTAGAACATTTAAAATCAGCTGTGACTTTGTTATAAAACTGGATGTTTTCAAGATTACGCATGAGCGTATTTCCTATTTTTGCCAAGTTATAAAAGACATATTTTCCATTTCAAGGATTGAAAATATTATGTTTCAATAGAGAGATATTAGCTGCTGGTTCACTAGACAGTAGACTTGGGCTATGACCTTTTGAAGCAAATGAAAACAAAAGCCCACCTTCAAACAAAGGTAGCTTTAGGCTTCAGGAAACGACGCTGCTATAAATATTAGAAAATATATCTACAAATATTGGATCTATGGAGAACTTAAAGGGGGGATTTTACAAATAGGAACGAAGTCCTTGATTGCTTTAACACAAGAGCCCATGTGTGCTAAACCTTAAACCAGAGGCGCTACCCTCATTACATGCAAGTGCTCTTTTAACGCTAAGAAACCGTGAAACAAGCAGGTTTATAATACATGGACCCAACGCAGGTCTGTGTAGGAATTCACATTCATAACTGGGTGCTTTTTGGGAAAATGTCAGAGGGTGTTATAGAAAATTCACAGGGCTGATGTCTTTCACGGCCAATTTCATTTCCAAACACGTGATCCTGCAGTTTATAACAAAGTTTTGTTGGGGGGTGGGGGGTCTACAGGCCCTCTATAAACCTTATATGCTTATAAAACAGCATATAAAATTTTTAACAGCAGCGCGCAAGATTGCAAACTTTCTCTCATAACCAAGGCGCTGACTTTAATACGTACTGCTGCTGCTGGATTTCTCCTCATTGTTGCCGGAAGATAACTCCGGGCTGCTCGTCTCCTCCCGCGGCTCCTTCGCCTCTGAGTCCCTGCATGACGCTGCGTCCTCCGCCGCAGAGCTCGGCTGCTTGGTCGGGGTTTTTTCCCCCGAGAAACCGTTTGTGGAGGAGCTCTCCGACGCGTTCCCATACGCCGTCTCATAAAACTGGTCAAAGGCTTGAGGCAGCACGCCGTTTCTGCCCACGTTCCCGTAGAAATTGGAGGCAGCGGAGCCGGCGCTCGTGTGGTGGTGGTGGTGGTGGTGATGGTAAGCGGCGGCGGCTGCTGCGGGGCTGTTTTTACCGAACATGTCCCCTACTACAGCGGTTTGCGCCGACAGACAGTCCCGGTGCACCATGTCCTCCGCGCTGGGGTAACCGTGGGGTAAGTTCCCCCGGTGTGGCCATTTACCGGACGCGTCAATGGCTGCATAGTCCCTGAACGTCACCTCTCTGACGGGCTGGACCTGCGGCAGGTTAGAGGAGTAGGAGTATGTCACGGGGCGGGTGGACGGTGTCTGGGACAAAAAAGAGGGAAGACCGGAGAAATCAGCCCCCGCCGAGACGTAATAAGTGCAACTGGGCAAATACATGTTCGATCCGACGGGGACCCTTTCGTCAAAATCCATCATCGTAGTTCAGCCTCTGCTATAACTCTATGTTGGGCTTTGATTCCTCTATAACCGCCCTGAACATGGCTCTGAAGCGCCGTGCCTCCTGCCTCTTTGAAGCAGGTTCGCTAAGCAGAAATTTGGAGACGTAAGCTGACGTGGAGAGCCATCTCCATCCACTCCACAGAGAAGGAGGTCACGTGACCAAGCGGCAGAAATTGACAGATTTTCAGCCTGTGTGTATGTGTGTGCGTGTGTGCCTGCGTGCCCGCGTGTGTGTGTGTTAGTGTGTTTGTGTGTGTGTGTGCTGGAAAGAAGGAGTGTGTGCAGGAGTGTAAAAGCCATGACTGCTATGTGTCCTAAAGCTTGACATTGGTGGTTCATCGCCATGTCGGCTTAAAAACAAATTCCTCAGCATGTGAGGAAGTCAGAAGGAAAAGGAAATCCAAATAGATTCAAGAAAGAAAATGGACTTTAATCGAGGATTTCAACTAAATATCATGATTCATTTTTAACATTTTTTCAGCTTTCCTACACTTCTAATCTACCCTGAAAAATATCTGCGCGTGTTTACACCCTTTTCTTCTACTTTATCTTCCTATTTTAAAAAGAAAATTCAATGTCAGGCAATAATAAAAAAATAAAAATCCTTTCCCAGCAGCCAAAATGTCCGAGCCCTACCTGTTATTAACACTAACTGAGCATAGATAACATAGACCCGAATTGAAGGAAGGAGACAACCAGCTTATCTCTTGTGTCTGCTTTTAGAAATGTCTTAGTCATCATCATTTGGTGCTTTTTACAACATAGCATTTGGCCCAGTGGGCATTTGGTTATCAGGGTCATGTTCAAAGTAGCGGCTAATGTTTCAAATGGCCTTGTGTTACTAGCACAATCAAGAATAAACGACAGACAGGCTTTGACAAGAAAAGACTGAGCACAGATCTATAATGAGAGAGAATTAAAGTGTACCAAAGGTAAACTAGGATGGCCCGTGAAATCTGATCTCACATGAGGGGGTTTCATGGCATGTTTGTCACTGGATACAATTCAGTTATATTATAAGGATTTTCTTTTAATAATAACAAAATAAAAGCTGCAGAAAATTATCAGAAATTACCACAAACTCGTTGAGGTAAAAGCGCAAGAATGAAGAATCAGATGTATACAGAATCATTAAAACAGCGTCCCTCAATCCTAAATGTTACAGCCTATTAAAAATTATAAACTAACTACTTTTGAATGATTCTTGTCTCACTGCTTCTGTTTTGCTTCATACTGACTTTTAATGGATCTAGTAAAAGCCCCACAACACGCAACATTCAAGCCAGCTCCGCTTTTACGCACGGCTATTTCTTCACGATTTTGTGCAAATATTTACTCAGATGTGCGTCGTTGAGAAGAGAGGCAGCTCCTACAAATTTACAAGACATTTTTATGTTTTAATGAATGATCATTTCAATCAGATGCCCATTTTTGCTGTGTATTTATCTGACGCATAAAATGTGTTTTTTTGCGTAAAATCTATCAAAACACAAAACCAGCACTGTCAATGCGTTTTCAGTTCAAATAACCGGAGGCAGAATTTTAAACAGCTGCTCTTTTGTTCAGAAATGAGAACTGAAAATAAACAAACAAGATTATGGAATTTAATCTAATCCATGTTTCGGAAAACAAACATTCCCTGTGGGAAAATAACGTTAATGTCTTTCAATCAGCGATTTTGTTTCTTCCGAGTCAAAACTAGCTTCATGTTATCTATACCATGTATCTTTTGAAATGCTGAGATTTCCTTTACGTGATTTGGTTCACTTGTCACTGTACACACTCCCTGGCTGCCTGCTCTGAGGCCACCATGGAGCTTGTTTTGGAGAGGCTGCAACCTGACTCTAATGTGCTGTGAATGAGAGACCTGAGCTGGGATTAAGACCGCCGCGGCTGGCCGGGCCCCACAGCCCGATGTGCATATGGAGATCCAAGGGGCACATGTGAAACACAACCTTAAAATATCACAGACATTAAGACTTTGTGAGCACCAACTAACGCCCTGAGAGTGTATCAAAACATGGCGAAGAATGCAGCCTTTGCTATCCACCGTCCTGCTCACAGGCCGTTTTATTTGGATAAATTGCAGTGGGCACAAACAACCCGAGTGTCTCTGCGACCACACGCTCCGCCTCTGAGTCAATCCAGACAAATTCTACGAGTTGAGCTGAAGCTTTTAAGCCGTAATTGAGCACAGGATGCCCAGAAAAACCAAAGCCGGCTCTGCTTAGACCAGCGTTTTTATAGCTGCTATAGTATTCTGCTGTGCCTTTTTTTCTCCCCGGCCAGACAGACACCACAAAACTGACCAAGCGTGATGGGAAGTCGCCACCTACAAGGACTGAAAGTCAGCAGCTGAGGATTTTCAATTTCATAGAAAAATACCACGTTTCCAACAAACTAAGGTAAGAATTCTATGTTATATAAACAAGCAGTTGTCTGGACATTTGCCCATTTTCCATCAATTAGGAATTCTAAAATCGGATATAAATATTAAAAGTTAAATGCTTAATGTGTTAAAAGTGTTTTGGATTTGTTAAAGGGATACTACTAGTTATTTAACATCCTCCTTGTGTGGATTTTGCGTATCAAACTGCAGTCTGGCGCTGCGTAAAAGCCTTCAAAGCCAAAGCTTTGTCTGTACGGTCGACTTCAAGTTCGGGGGAGGGAGAGGGTCCTTCACAGAGACCAAGGGGCCAAACTGTGCCCCGGATGGAGTACCTCTAATTGCTTTTGCATTTACGTGGGCTTAGGGTTACAAGGATAGCTGAGAATGTGAGCCTGTAAATCGAAACTGGGGAAAAGTGGATTCAACTGAACTTTTTTCACTGATAGCGCGTCAAATGAGATTAAGATGCTACTAAATTCCTGGTGCATATTTGTCAAAGGTGTCCTAAGTGATTTAAAAAAAAACTACAACTGCAACGTGGAGTTAGTTGGAGGAGATTTTTCGGTTCTTAGAATAATTTAAACCTTTAATTTTGTGCTTTACGCAAAGATAATTTTTAGTTTGTTTAAGTTTTTGGACCAAATATTAAAACAAAACCATATGAAGGCAGTGATTGTTTTCTCTATTGACTGCCTCTAGGTAACTTTAAAAAGGTTTGGCGGATAGAAACAGAGTTTTTACTCAGGTATACTGCTTTCTTGTCTCTTTTTTTTCTCTTTTTTTCCTTTTACGCAGACATTCAGATACACACACACACACTTTGGCGTAATTTGTATCGCGCAATGACAAAATAAGAAAAAAAACACAGATATTAACAACTAAAATACTCAACTGTGAATAAAGTCAACAAAGGGTAATTTAAGTGCAACTTCTCCCCTGAGGTGACAGACACACTGGGTTGGACAGGAAGAGAACGCGACGCACAGATACCCCAATCTGTGCGCCATAAAACCTTGTCAGACAACAAGTAAACAATCACGTGTTAGAACCAAGAGTACTCTTTAACGCCACTTCAGGTAGGCCTATTGGCCGTAAAGCAGCCTAAATTGGCGCATGCAGTGTCTTGCAAAGAAACCTCCTGCAGTTTTCGCCATGGAGTGAAATAAAAGCGCAGAGTTTAGTACTGGCCGCTCGATTGTTTTCATTTTATGGTGGAAAAATGAACCACCACACCTGCGACTGAAAGCTTCTTTTGAGTTGATTCTTCATCTCGAAATGGAGACACAATGCGTTGTGTAGAGTCCAAAGCAAGAGGCCGTAAGATACAGTAGGGTAATAGAAAGTGTAAGAGCGGCGCCAACAGTGATCTGTTATTGCGCACACACTGATCCGCACAATAAAAGATCACATAATTAGAAGGCTGACTTCACATAAAGGTTTGTAATGCACAGACGAAACGATAGCTGCGAACCAAAGCAGGACTGAATTCAACTGATGAGCCAATGTGCGAATTTCAGACATAAATAAGCACCAAACTTTTATCTAGTTTAGAATCTATTTCTTCATTTTTTTATCCATTTGGAGGTTTTTTAAGTGTGTTTGAACTTGAATGTTGCAAACTCTTTACCAGACACTATCACATTACTGAGAGCACTTATTCCAGCTCGGATTTTCGTGGAGGGTGGGGATTATAAAACCATCAGACTGTAACATGAAACAAATAGTCCAACACAAACGACCAGAAGTAAAAAAAAATATCATTAAAAGTGAACCTGATTCAGTGACTCATCTGTTGATCTATCCACAGGTGACTGCAGAGATGGCGACGACGTGAAGGCCTGAGCAGGACCACACAGGGGCCACGCGGGGGAAACCGACCAACTCCACGGTCAATGGGAGCCCCTCTGACTGAGTCACAATGTTGGATTAGCCTGCAGAGGGTATCCTGGGAGACAAGGCGTCAGCAGCAGCAGCAGCAACAGCAGCAGCAGCAACAGCAGCAGCAGCGGGCCTGGACAAAAGGACATAAAGTGGACTTCAGTGGGGGAGAAATGAAATTTTACAATGGAGAGAAACACAGTAGGAAAAGAGAGAGGGGAAATAGGTCCCACTTTAAGTGTAAAACAGATTCTTTACAACATATGGGAAAGAAACTTGCTTAGTAAAAACAAAGATGATGCGTCAGGAGCCCCTGTGTTTAAATGCGCACTTAGAATCGGTGGATTGGGAGTTTTTATGCACAAAACACACACAGGTTGTTAGAGAAGATGTTTTATTTACGTTACAAGCTTGAAACTGTTTTCAATGGTTACAAAAATAAAGAAAAAACACAGGTTTGGCCTGATCACCAGTGAACGTTGATTTTAAATGAACATTTTCTTATATTTGAATCCTGTTACTAGAAGGACATGAAATTTGACACTAATATATATATATATATATATATATATATATATATATATATATATATATATATATTTTACGTTTATCCGCAACATTAGACTTTGGTATTACACTCAAAATTAAGCTATAACCGCGTCGTTTAGTTGGACTGAGCCTTAGAAACAGTAGCCACAGTAATAGC